TAGATTCATCTGATTAAAGGGGCAAAACTATATAACAATTCATCTTATTACACCCATTTAAAATTCCTGCGGGGTAATGTCATGCTAGGCCTTCCCTATATACAGAATGTAGAATAGGATGCCAATAATAGTATTAATGCGATATAGCTACAAACACACAAACCCCAACATTAAATCCGTGATAGTTTAGTGGCTAGAATTACCGCTTGTCGCGCGGTAGACCGGGGTTCAATTCCCCGTCGCGGAGCTCACTGCGCAGCTTGTTTAGTGGTAAAATCCAACGTTGCCATCGTTGGGCCCCCGGTTCGATTCCGGGGCTGCGCAACTTTTTGAAAATTTCACATCTTTATATATCTTGGCTGGCGTCGAGGTATATTTTTCTGCTACGAGCAGGTCTACTGCCCCTGAAAAACCTGTTTCCATTTGGCATCTGCAGAAGGATATTGTAGGATGCATGACAAATGCGAGCGGTTCCGCATAAAATAGCCAAAGACCAATTTTCAGAAGCGTGTTAATTGGCACTATATTTGGATGTTTGCCCAAGCTACTCCGCCCAGATGAATTATCAAAGTTTCATTCATATATGCGATCTTCATTGAAGCGACTACTACAGAAGGCTTATCCTAGGAATCCATGACGTAATATCCAATACATAAACAGATACGAGCCAAGATGGCCGACCAGGCCGTGACTAACAGAAGGGGGTGGGTCAATTTTCGACACTTGGTACGTATCTGGTAGCTGCCTAAAAGCTCTTTCATATGTTAAATGTAAAGTTTTCGCTCATCATAGTTTTGCCCCTTTAATCAGATGAATCTACCAAAAAAAATGATTACCGCATTTTTAGAGGGAGAATGAAGTCGATTCGAATGCGCAGGTATGAACGAGGTAATTTCCTAATATGGATTTCGCAGCCAGCCACGCGGTTACAGGCGGAGCTCACCGCAGGTGAGACGCGAGATGGATTTCAGTTCACCGTCAACCTTTTAATTCTAGTCAAATATCAAACAATACTTTTGTACGGTGAGAATCTTACGGCTGTGATAATCTTTCAACTAGCTGAAATAATCAAGATTTTTGCATTACATTGTACAGTATGCTGGTAGTAGTGGGCCACACGAAATGGCCAGAAAATCTTGGCCTGTTGGTGTCATCTCAGACAACACTCATAAAAGACAAACCCGTCACGAAGTATCCAAAGGAAAGATACTCAAGTCATCCGATAGATCTGCAATATTTGACACAGTCGAATGAAGAATCGAACGTCATAAGGAAAAGGAATGCTATCTCCACCAAAACTCATAGGAGACCACCTTCTGGACTCTTCGACATACTATACGATGAAAACCCGACGAAGTCACATAGTCACACCATCAGTTCTGATTTTCCACCAGAGAAACTCAAATCGCCAAGCTACATCGAGATTGAGAGAGCAATATTAGCAGGTCACACTCTAAGAAGCGATCGAAATTCTCCTCACGCCCCAACCGTAACGATGATTGACGAAAAGCTTCCTCGATCTGGGTCCATAATATCCAATGATGCCAGTATTCGACATAGAGGCACCATTAAACGCCGAAATAAGATGACACGGCGTGAACCTTCGGACCATGCTGCAGTGCTGTTGTCACTGGTATTATCTGTTCATTCACAAGCAGAAAAAGTCAGTTCTGGTAGGCCGAAACGGTCAAGGCTTTTTTCAGTCTTTCCTGTCAGGCGAAGAACCTCGTACAAGTATTATCCAATACAAAGAAGAGAACAGGTCCTGCGATTTACTTCTCAGAAAGAAGTGGATGACTATTTTCTGATCAATAATATCACATCCTTGATGAAGGAGCTACTCCCTAGTACAATGGCAAACTTTGAGTACAAGAAACTCAGACGCCCTAATCCGCTTCTTGTATCACATCCGGTTAGATTTGATATGTCTCCTGATGCATGCTTTACTAGACTCGATATCGACCCAACTGCCAGACATGAGTCCAAACACGTTACTGAACACGTCAGGTCTTGTTATAAATTAGGCCCAAATACACTCGCATCAGAACACGGATGCAGAAACAGTCAATCAAAAAGCCCGGAAATTGCCAGACACAGATCTTTTCTCAGCGCAGTTTATACCAATTACCAAAGAATAACTTTTGCCGGCAAGAGACAAATTCCTTTGAAATTGGAGACAGTGCTCCCCTTGGAAAACAAAATGATAACTGATAGCGAAAGGGATAGTCTCAACACTCAGATACTAATGGAAGTTTTACTTCGTCGAACGGTCGCTGCAAAAATTGAATTCAGGCTAAACCAAAGCAGAAAGATGCACAATAAACCAACAAAAGACTTTACGAATATTTCCGGATCTTTGACATCCTCAGTATCAAATTTAGGGTCTCGAGAAAGTCAGCCTATAAGGTATGATGGCAAATACAGTCATTCTTCGAAGAGCAAGGATAAAAAATCGAAGATCAGACATAATTTTGAAACAACTTCAAGTGAATCTGGTGATCGTGTTATACTTTCTAATTCAGCGCGCTTCCCTTCCCCGCAAATCTCATGAAAAACTAGTTGTATCAGAATCCATGATCTACATCAATTAGAGACTGACGTCATAATGAGACTCTCAAATTTTGGAGAATACCAATATCTCAAAAGATTCGGGTTGATATTTTAGTTGGTGGTGCTAATGTTGATGGGTTTTATATATCCCCCAGTCAATTACCAAAGATGGGTAGATAACGACATCAAATCGATTTATGAAAAATAACTTGAGCAATGATCATTATTCCAGATACTTAATTCAAGTCTGGATCGGCATATCCAATTGTGGTGAACACTCACATTATTATCGAGACCGAAAAAGAATAAGTTGTATCTTTTTTTGTGAAATAATGACAATTATCTCTCCACAATATGATATGTGTCATTTTGTGGCGAGGTTTCTGTGTCAAGGTTTCTGTGTCAAGAAGTTGCAAATCCCGCTCCTCAAAGAGAATCTTTCTTGAGTGTTTTGGCTGTTCCCATTTCTCGTGCCGAGGCAGACGAGCTTCAGCTGGTGTCTGCGAAGTACCAAACATCTTTCCGTGAAAACATTTCTGATGCAGAAAGACTAAAATAACTGATTATTGATCACAGCTTCGTACTGCGAAGAAGTTCAAAAGGTATTAATGAGTTCTTGCCATTTTCTCAGGTTTTGATTTCTCCTATTTATCCCTCTTTTACTTGAGAATCACCGGTTGACACGCCAATGGTTCGTGAACGTCCATACATTTTACAATATTATATACAAACACGTAATTTATGATTCTCATGGTCTACTTGAATTCTAGTCAAGGGATTTGAATCGTATGCAAATATAAACAGTCCGCGGTGAAGATGAACTAGCTATTTCAAGTTTTGAGTTGAACGAGACTGAATCTTTCTTTTGATCACCTCTTCAGTCTTGTTTGATGATCTCCCATGGGTGCCTGAAAAAAATAGTCGGGCATGAATGCCTTCGACTCAGAACTAGGAAATGCAGCAGAAGATGGGTTTCTGGCACTCGGGATCCTACTCGCGTCATCAAGTCCCTCAGGTGATTTTTGTTCGAAATTTGCTATCTCATGGAGTTCGCTTATTTTTGCGAACTTATCTACCATTTCGTGAATCCTTTTTTTTCTCGTTGATAATTGTAATCCCATTGTAGAACTACCTGCGCCTATGGCAGAAGGCGTCGTGACTGGTGTTGAAATAGATGGTGTGTGCTGTTGAATTCCACTATTTTGGGTGAACAATGTCAATGAAGTCAAGCGGTTCCTCAATGTTGTATACGTAGATGACTGAGGCATGATCATCAATATCCCATACAAAGTCTTGTACAAGTAAGGATGTTTCTCGGGTTCAAGAAGTTGGAGCCTTAGTTTAAGGAAAATGTGAGATTCTAGTAATTGCACCAAAACATCTAATTGTGCTAACAATTGGAATGTCACTTCCAGTTCCGCCAAACATTTGATAATCAAGTAGGCCAATTCATAATTGGAAGTTAAAAGACAAAGCGACAATACGCTAGGGGTGTTGTGACACCAGCTTTTGAAGAGGGTGGAAAAAAGAGCCCAGTCTTCGGCCTTGCAAATATCAATACTTTTCAATTTCTTCCTGAAGCTCTGAAGCTCTGCAGTAGTGAGCAAAATATTGTTGAACGTGACAACTATATTGCTTAAGAACTCAAGATTGGAGTTCTCATATGAGACCAAGACCTCTGATAATGATTCAAAAATGCGCTCTGAGCTTATGGATACGCATAATCTTCTAATGATGAACTCAACCTTGCTTCTTGACAATATTGCTTGCCCGCCATTCGTCGCAGAGTTTTGGTACGCTGTTGGTAACTTTCCCAAATCCGGACCATCTGTCTCAAAGAATGAGACTAATTTGATCATAAAGTCTTTAAAAAACTCATGATTGTCCTCCGAAATTTGAGCGACAAGTTTCAACACTTTCAGAACAACATCATTACTTGCATCAACGGAGGATTTCAATAGGGCAGTTAAGTCAAGACTGAATTGTTTGTTTGTGGGCATTGTCGAATCGCTGCTCAAATCTTGAGGAAAGAAGCTGGAACGATAATTTGAGTACAAGAATGTCAACCACTCCAAACTTGTCAATCTCGCAAGTTCATTAATCGACAGAAGACACTCATTCATAACAACTTCTATTGTTTTCATCAAATAGAATTCCAAAAACTCATCATATGACTCCTTGTTCAAACCTTGAATAAAGCTCTCACTGACTTCGTTTATCGCTGACTCACTCGTACCCAGGAAACTGATCAAATTTGGATCCTCCGATTGATTTGCATGCAACAGAATCAAGTATGTTCTCAAGGAGTCACTAAAGCTGAGGAACTGGTTTCTTAGTTCAATGTCATTGTGATCGTCGGTGAACGATACATTTTGCATGATGATGGACACACAATCTGGAAGATACTTCGAAAAACTAGTTGGGCTGATAAGAATGATTTCGTGCAACCACCTCAAGGCAATCGATTGGATTTCCAAATACACATCATGACTCTCGCCCGCAAGGTCGTTCGCTTTGAATTCTTGAATATTCGAGCCGACTGTTGGTGGTCTCAAGAAAGAAAGCAATATATCAATTATTCGAGGGAAATCAATAAAAATGTCTTGTCCATTCACGAATAAGGAGTTATCATCAAGTTCGTTGCTGGAGAATGAAATCTCTGGATCAGCACCCACTTTCAGGGGATCAGCTTTCCTGATGATTGTAGTTGAGTTTGATTTAATGGAAATGGAATCGTGATCAGTGCGCTGGTTTTGCAGAATGGACAACCTATCGAGGTTCTCGCCCAATTCTTCGCTTGCCTCAGGGTTTATTTCGACCCCATCAGTATTGACTTCACGCTTACTCTTGATAGCCTCTTCATCAATCTTCTTTCTTCGATCCTTGATAATTTGCAATCTTCTAACTTCGTACTTCACTTTATAGATGGCTTTGATTTCCTTCAAGAAGATGTTGAGCAAATTTTGAGTTTCAATGCGGACGTCTGAGGGGCACCCATTCATGAAAAAGCGGAGAAGAGGATTAAGAAAGTTTGGGAGAAATGTTATTAGCTCGGATGAAGGGATGTCATCAAAGAGTTCTAGCCAACTCAACAAAAACTTCTTTGCAAAGGGCTCAATGGTGTACATGCGCTCGAGAAGAGTAGGAATAAAGCGTGGCAACAGAAAGGCCTTCAGCGGGTCCTGAACGTTGTTCACTTGCACAGAGAGACCATCAGGAGTGATTATGTGCGACTGAATATCGTGGCTTTCCTCGTTTTGCTGGTGCAACATCGAAACATAGCTGGACGACTTTGCACTCACAATGTCTTTGATCAATCGATCTAGAATGTCCGCGGCATTTTTGACCGAAGATTCAGTGTCAGTGACCAAAATACATAAGATATCAAACACCTCGTTGAAGTATAGCAAGATTTCGCCTCGAGCAACTTTGGCTATGTTGTACAAGGACTCACACGCGTAGTAACGCACACGAGCATCCGTGTCTCTGAAAACAGCAAAGATCGGGCGCACAATCTGCTCGAGAAAATATGCGATGGTTAAAGACCCGAGCGCAACGGACACGCTTCCAAGTGCGGTGATAGCACCCATTTTCCCTGACGTCGAGCCTTCATTAGCCAACTCGGTGAGCTCAGCAATGATTTTATATATCAGCGGACTATCCTTGTTCGCCAACGCAGCCTTCGTGAGGCCCTCAATTTGAAAGGCCGTGGCTTTTCTCTTCTCATATATATGATTCAGAAGATCCTTTAAGAGCGCCGCGTCCAAAATCCTTGGTTCTGTCATTTGCACAAGATTGAACGACTATAGAGAAGATTTGGAAAACACTAATTTGGTTCGGTTGGGTCTTAACCGTCCTTTTATAAATCACAGAAGCACAGAGCAGGCGACTCCAGCAAATGCAAAGCAGGTGTTTTTTTCGTTGGCGCGTGTGTTGTTCTTGACCTGTTAATAATTCCTACATCGTGGACAACCATTTCAACGAGTGCGCGCGGCAGTACACAACGAGACAGTAAAAGTTCAATACATGACTCTATAAAAGTCTGTTTTTTCGATGTCAGAAATGATTTTATGAGATGCTTACCATTCAAATAATTTATGAGATTACTGAGAAGTCAATGACGTGTCTTCTGAGTATGCAAAAGTTTACGCCTGTTCTTGCTTCAACAAGAATGTGTCTAGACTTGTCATCCTTGTATGTCATTCAAGCGTCCACTTTTCTTCGCTTACCATCCAGCTCCTTTGACCACTTTTCAGCGTAAAACTGATCATCTTCCTGCTCTTCAGAACCGTCTTGACTGTCGACTTCTATTTGCTCGTAATCGTATTCTTCCGACGATGCACGTTCATCTCCACTCGAGCTTTTGATTTCAGACTCCGCAGCAATCGGCTCCAATTCAGGAATACTGGATAAATGGTGCTCCCAAGCTACCGTGCCAAATGACTCTTCGGTCGGCTTACCAGGCAAGATATTCTGCAACACCTCAAGATCGTCTTCGCCAGCGAAATCTTTAATCTCCGGTAATTGCACATTAAACTTAATGTAAAGGTCTCCGCGTTTGTATGATGCGACATCTCTCTTAAATTTGGACCCATTGCTTTGGTAAAACTTACCATTCTTGATGGTTTCATTTATGGGCATTCCCAAACCCTTGACGAGTTTCGGAATCCCCAGGTTAATGGTTCCAATCACTTCTCCAGAGTTGACCAATGGATGGATCGAATCATTAAGACGTTTTTTACCATGTACATTCACATAGAGAATAACATCTTCTCCCATTCTGGGAAAGTCCAGGATGACTAGCCTTCCCCCTAATAATGCGGTTTTCAAATCAATGTCATACTCCATGAAAAGATCGTTCCCCTGTCTCACCAAAAACGGGTGCGGCTGCTCTTCCAAATGGATAATGACGTCTCCAGGAGTAAGGTTCTTGCCTTCATCCGACTGCCCTAGAAGAATACATTTATCCCCGTTCTTGGAGCCTGGAGGAATGGACACCTTTAAGAGTTTCGTCTCCATTCTGTAGCCCTGATCACATCTGTCACACAAATCCTCTGTTCGGGAGTAGATGCCCGTCCCCCGACACGAATGACAATCTCGCTTTTCTTGAAATTGAGCAAAGTGGTCAGTGACCTGAATGATTATTCTGCCACTTCCTTCACACGTCACGCAGGTTTTAGGATGGAAACAGCCCATGCCGTTGCACGTTGAACATTTGGTCATTTTTGGGAGCAGAAACTTCGCCTCTTTGCCATGGTACATATCAGCCAAAGTAACTTTGAAGTTGTGATGAATGCTTGTTCCTTTCTTGGATTTTTTGGACCCGTTGCCAATATCCGGACGGATAATTGTTGTTGGTGATGAGGTGTTTACATTTGGCCCACCAGCGGTAAAATTCATGCCCGGCACATGTGGCTGGCCAAAATGCTGACCAAAATGACCATTCGAACCAAAAGCAGAAGACATGTCGTTAAAGAGCTGGGAAAAAATTGTCTGTTCGAAGCCAAATCCGGGTGTTCGAGGTTGTTGGTTCACATTGAACCCTCTTCCTGGCTGTTGAGGCGGAGCATCTGCGAAAGACCCATCTAAACCTCTGGTTCCGTATACGTCGTATATACCTCGCTGGCGAGGGTCTTTTAGAATTTCATACGCCCGAGAGAGGTCTTTGAATTTCTCGGTGGACTCTGGATTGTGATTCGTCTTATCAGGATGGTATTTGAGGGCCAATTTCTTGTATGATTTTGTGATTTGGTCAACCGTTGCCGTAGCAGGGACCATTAGTAGGTCGTAGAGTTGCGTTTCACAGACCATTAGTGGAGTATTATAGCATGTATTGTTTGATACAAGGTGCCGCAGGAGGTATGTGGCAAAATTATCTTCAAACTAGGAAATTCGTGACAGATAAGCCTTGTGAAATAAATAAAAGGAACAATAAATAAAACTTGTCGGAAAAATTTGTCAGGCAAAGAAAACTGATACTTATTGGCCGAGATGAAAAACGTAGAATATTTGGAGCTGATGCCTCTCATCTGAAAACCTTTGTAGAATGTAGGCTATGGAATTCGATACCCTTCTTTGATCTGCGGGGAGTGCACGGCGGGCAGACTCACACGCGTAGCAGTTTCCGCTTATGGAGCTTGATCACGTGACACGATAAGCGTGCTTGTCCAGCCGCTCGAGATTTACCATTGCGTGACTTGCTACGAAACAAAAGCACGAAGATCATCACATAATATACTAAATGACGTAGATCATCAAAAAAATCCAGCGGCAAGAAAGTAACTGCATTTTTATGAGCTAAGAATGACCCAACATCTCATCTCTAAAGTGGCGCTGGAAATTCACTCTTCTTGGCTTAGTCATTCGTTCATGAACGTTTCTTGCCTTAGCCTCCAATTTTCTCATTTCCTTCTCTTGCTTCGACACCTGGAAATCAGTGAGACCTGGGGCAAACCTCCGGTCTACTAATGCAACTGTCCTTTCCGATTCATTCCACTCCCTGGCCATGGGGCGATTTGGCCTTTGCTGCCTGACCATTGCCCTGTGACCGATAACAGAACCATTAGGTAGCACAACATCAGAAGTCGCATCTTCAACATCTTCTCTAGTTCCAATATCTTCGTATTCGGAATCGTCAGAAGCGGGGCGGAAGGCTACGCTCTTCTTCTTCCTCATACTGTTGATTCTAAGTGGTTGGCGATCAACGGTGTCAAAGTTATAAAACTCGGCAACAACCTCTCTAGCCTCTTCAGTTTCATATGGAATGCGACAGTGTCCCTTAGAAGTAAGATGCAGCCGGATGCTTTCCAAACTTTTACCGTCAAACCCGCAAACTAGACAATCATGATCCACGGTAACCACCTCATTGATAAACGTGAGAAGACCAGCTAGATCGACGAGGAACGATCTTTCGGGTATATATAGGGCGTGCCTATTGGTCATGTGCTTAATATTTTGCTCGATCTCATGATTGTTCTTGCCACAATAGAAGCAGTAATGGTTGGGAAGTACATGTGTCGCCTCTTCATCGAAATGGTCCTCTTCTATATCGGTACCTGAGCTGTCTTCATCACTTTCGTGTATGAGACTCCACTCGCTGTCGTCAGAATAGTTGATCTCGGAGTTGGTATCGACGGTAGATTCTACTTCTGACAAATTCACGGACTCACCAAGAGAAAACTCCGAGAATTCGGATGCGACGGAAGCTGCTGGGCTCTGCGATCTCTGCAGAATTGATGGAATATCCTCAACAGTGATACGGCCACGAACTTGCCCGCGAGCTAATTGCTTTAAATCCTTTTTCGTCAACTGTCTTTCTCCTTTACCAGACCTTCTGCGGTGGTTTATGTGAAATCCCAACTCGTCCTCGTCGGCCGGCTCCTCGTCCGCAGATTTCTGGGACGCCAAAACTTTTTCTGCAAATACTTCGGACAGGATGCCTGGCAAACCGGCCACTTTTCTTTTTAAGTTATATCTGTGCCATTCTGTCTTCATGTGTTGGCGTTGTATTTCAGCTGACAAAAAGCGGATTCCACAAGTATTACATGTGAATCCAGCAGTTGTGGGATTGGAACCTTGTGGCAAATAGTTCATGATTGACAAGCCGGGCTTAGGAAAGCAAAGTGGGGATAAAAAAGCTAGGATGCACAGTCATTGCTTGCCTGAGATGCGGGTGCGTACATTGCCACCCTTGGTGAGAGGAGCCTAAATATGCGAAACCGCATCACAGTTTACGTACTCCCCGCCAAATGAGAATGGACAACAGCCCCCAACCCAGGTTATTGATTGAATGGAGTGGTTACAAAAGTCAGGCTTGTCGCGGGACATTGTTTTTTTAATCCAAAAAAAACCCATTTATCCCAGCATGCAATGTTTACCATGCCCATAGTTCGCCCTATTGTATGACCGCGAACCTTACTGTACTTACTTGCGAGTAGGTTCATGTATAGGGTTCAGGAAGCACGGCCTTATGCCATCAAAATACTACCGAGTACGCCGGGACCGTCCAAGAGAATAAAACCGGGATAGTTCTTTCTTTTTACACACCACATATATCCTATTGTACATAGTTCTTGCTCACCTGAATTGAATACATCGCAATTACTGGTTCCACAAGTAAGAAGGGCCAGGCCAAACACGTCTGTAAAGCGCCATGCCAATGACATCCTGTGCACTGAGCCTGCCGTCGAAAGTAGACTTGAAGTAGCCATGCGTGCCCAAACTCTCCTTGATGAAACCGGTTCTGCCAGACTTGGTGAACAACGGCACCGCCTTGAACCACTCAATGTCCTCTGAGTTGAAAAACATATATCTGACAGTAATAAGTCTCTTGTGGATTTTGACAGCATGTCCAGTCAACACGACCCTTTCGGCCATAACCCGAGTGTGGTCGCAGTTCAAGAACGTGCCCTGCCCAACAAGTTCCAACAGGCCATCAGCCTTCTGTTTGAAGAAGATGGCTGGAGCATTGTAGAAAAGAGCCGGGGCAATTGCGGTGGCAACACAAGTGTCTCCGAAATGGGCAAATCTCTGGAACTTGTGAACGTTGTTAGCGTTGTTAGAGCCCTGACTGAACGTAGGCGAGATGACTTGACGCCTGAAGCCGTATTGAACCACGAGCGCCTCTCCAGAAGGCAAGGGCTTTTCGTAGTCCTCCCAGGTTTTGAAAGAGAAGTTTGTCACGGAAAGCTTGTGCTCGTGGGGCAAGAGCGAGTAGATGATGAAGGGCTTTTCGCTGATCAGAACATCGTCCAAAATGTATTTGGGGGCTCTGATGTAAAGACGCACGCGGGTGCCAATTACCACCTGAGCCTCTTTGACGGCGTCTTTCTGCAACTTGTTTTTCGTGGCCTTGTAGCTGCTGATCCTGAGCAATCTGCTGTACAAACTTGGACGCTGGGAGTCTTGCTCATCCCAGTCCCAGTCACATGTGCCCAAAGACTTGATGCCCCTGTACTCACGGAGCTTCTCGCGTGCAAGCTCCTTGGGGTCCAACTCGATTTCGTCAGGGAACTCCCTGTCTTCATTCTCCAACTTTCTGAACTGCCTCAACTGCTCTTCCTCCTCTTCTGGAGACAAGTCCATGAAGTGCTCGGACTGGAAGTCGCCAGCTTCGGTAGGCTCGTACTCGGTGGCAGCAGTTCCCTGTTCCACGTCCATTTCCTCATCGACGTCCTGGTCCATCATCGCCGCGTCAAGCTCGTCGTCGTCGTCGTCATCGAGGTCGGAAGCTCCCTCCAAGACGTCGTCCAAGAGCCATTTGTTCTGATACTCTGAGGTGCCCTTGGGGGCCTTGTATCTTCTGGCACTGCCAGTGTCGCCATCGTTGAAGTAGTTCTTACCCTCCATGCGGATACCCGTGCCATGCACGTCGTAGTCGAGCTCGTCGAAGTCGTTGTCCATGTCGACTTCCTCCGGGTTCAAGTCGTCCAAGGACTCTTGCTCCTCGGTGGGGGCAAAGGTTTGCAGCTGATCGTTCTTGTGCTTGGCGACCTTTTCAATGCGCTCTAGCTGGAAGTCGCCATGCCCGTTGATGTGCACGAGTCTGTTTGCGTTGAAGCCGGTTCCCCTGGCAACACCTTCGACAACAATGTAGCCTGCATCGTTGGCGTCCGAGGCATGCCACGAGACGTCGCTGGCCACCAAGTAGCCCCTGGAGTCTCTCCAGTTGACCGACTTGGGGAATTTCTGAGAGATGAACCTGAGACAATTGAGCGCCTCGCTCTTGTTTTCGATGGCGTACAACTTCTCCTCGGTGGGGAAGAAGTGCGAGAAGAACGACTCCAAGGACTGCTTGACGTCGGCCTGGAAATTCTTCTTGGGGTATGCCGATACAAGGTTGGACACGACACCCACGGCAGTGGCAATGCCTTGTGCAATCACGGCACGCAAGATCTGCTCGCCATACTCCTTGTCAACCTCCTCCTCTGCAGAGAGGCCGAAGATCACGTAGTCCGAGACCTTGGCTGCATCCAAAATGGCAATCAAGTTGGTGGGCTCGGGCAAAATAAAGCGTGTCGTGCACTTGAACTTGTCCAACTTCAAGCTGGTCACAGAGGGCGCAACAAAGTCGACTTGTGCAGCCAGCTCGTCGTCATTGGTGGATGTAATGAGCTGCGTGAGGATCCCCGCAGCAGAAACGTCTTGCGTCAACGAGATCACAGTGATGATCTTTTCCGCGGCATTGCTGCCCTCGAACAATTTGCGCACAAGCTTGGTGTCAAGGATTTTCTTGTCTTTCAACTGCTTGGCAGTGTTTTTGCGCTCGAGCTTGCTGAGCACACGGGTGGCTTTATTGGATCCAGCTGCGGCCTTCTCGACCTTGCCCTTGTACTGGTTTTTCAACTGCCCCTTGGTGGCATGTTTGGACTTGAAAGGCTTGTGGTCGTTTTTGAGCGTCGATCTGTGCGAGTGGCCACCTGCCATATTTGAAAGATGCGGTAGCTTGGCGTGGATCGGATACCTGTGGAGATGGGCTAATTTTCGTATCTACCGAGTCCGATGGGGCCGCTCAGCTCATCGCGCGAGCCTGGTGCGCCCAGGGCTGAAGCCCTAGATTCATACGCGATCACTTGGCGAGTGTGCCTCTGCACAGTGCACCCCACGTCAGTGCACCACGGGTCCGGCTGCTGTACGTCCCGCACGGCCCATATGCACACCCACGAAAATTTTCCCTCCACCGCACCTCTGATACATCATACGTATTCCACGCAATCCAGGATTCCTTCCAAAACATATCCAAAAGTTATAAATGTATGTCCTGCCAACGACCGCACGATATCCACGACTCCCCTTTTGTATCTGGGAATCACCACTCCACAATGTGCTGCACCTGAAGGGCAATATTTGAGATGGCTGGCGCCCTTTGGGCTACCTTTCTGGCCCCTCTGGAAATTTGCACGCGGACGCTTTGTTTGCATGGGCCCTGAACTTATACATAGAAGTATAACCGAAGGCTGTCACGCAATGGGCTGGAAAGTCCATCTGCCAGATGAGTAGATTTCTGCATCACTCGCAGACATGGTTGAATCGTGGGATACTTACCCTCAGACTTGTACTAACTACTCTAGCAATATGGCTCACGAAAACGTTTGGTTCTCCCACCCAAGAAACTTCGGTAAGGGTTCTAGAAAGTGCAGAGTTTGCGCTTCTCACTCTGGTTTGATCAGAAAGTACGGTTTGGACATCTGTCGTCAATGCTTCAGAGAGAGAGCCACTGACATCGGTTTCAGCAAGAACCGTTAAACAAACCAAAATTCTCCTGTTATCATGTGTATTTAGAGAATAAAAACATAATTGTTCACATGAGTGTAGAGTTGTAGGCTTCACCGCTTGTTGAATGACATGGCGTGAGGGGGTACTGGGGACCGCATCTCAGAATTTAGCGTAGGATGAGGCAGTCAAGCCTAGGGCAGATTAGCTTTTCTCCAAAGGGCTTCGGTCTACTTTGCGTTCTGGGGTAGGATGACTTACTACAAGGCGAGAGTTGGATACGTATCTACGGAAAGAAATGTGCCCCTTTTATATCGACATTCAATATCCATCGCCTCACTGAAGAGACCCATCGGATATCAAACTTCCTATAGGGTAAATGACTGCTCTTGGGAATGCAATATAATAATATATATGGCAACGGTGATGACTTGACAATTTGCATCATCCCGTCGTGGCAAATACTCCCGTATACTTTTTGATTGGGGAAAAAAGGAAAGCAGAAGAAGACGCTGCGGACCCGTGTCTTTATATAGTGGCGCGGTAGGAGCACGACTCGCGAACGAAAGGTCCACTTCATAGTGTTCCATGCCAAGTAGGGCTGCGAGGGCTGAAATGGATCATGTGTTGGTATCCATAAGGGTGCAAAGAATCCCAAGACACACCGCTGATATTGTAAAATTTTATGTCATTGCGGCACTGGTGGAATTTCAAGGCATTTCACGGCATTTCATGAACCGCTTCTAAGTTTGGCGGGTCTCTGACTATTATGTACTCGATTTGCCGAGCGGGTTGGCCCAGCCTGGTCATAGCGCGCCCCGCGAAAATATTACAGTACGTTCCAGAACTATACCCCTCCAGAAACAAAATTAAGCGTTCAGCTCTACACACAAATGTCGGGCATAGGCGGGAAAGCTTTTTCTATCATAGCCGTGGGAGCTATCGGATGGTACACCGGAGTCAAATTCTGGAGACCCCTCATCATGTATGTATAGCCGCAGTGTGCTGATGTATGGAGCAGTTTGACCAATGTGGAGACAGAACCTACTAACGCTACTTTAGTGAGCAACTCGAGAAAGACAACAATCTCGATAAGGGACTCGTGCCTCCAGAGTATGTGGACGATGCTCCAAAGAATTGGGAGGATGTAAAGAGTCTTTGGAAAACATCGTTACATCCAGAGCAGCACCCATTGGACGTGCGTGGAGCTGAGCAAGCAGCCAATATCGCATCGTCTGAGTTGGCCAAAATCAGAGAAAACGGGAACAAATAAAATAGCATAAATATATGTGGCGAGGAAGTCTATAAACGAACGATCATTGTTTTGCAATAAACGAGGATACACATGTCTCATCACTACCATGTGCATATTGGCGATACATCTGGGGACCTCCACCTGTGCCGCGCCTACATATAGCGTAGACAAGGGCCTCAAAAGCTCATCTCCTCCCCTACTGAAAGATTTGTATTCACAAGAAAATGGGAAAATTAAGGAAAGGAAGAAAAAACCAACGAGGCAGGCTTAATCCGGTGGCCAAGAAGATGGGGTCAAACGCCTCCAAACAGGAAATCAAGGACGAAACCTTGCGTCAAAACAAAATCGTACCTTTGATCGGCAAGTTGTCCTCATCTGCACCAAACGATAGGTCGGTCGCTTTGAGTGCCATCACTGTGCTTGCTGAAGACGAGAGAATGAGAAAAATCTTGTTGAAAGAGCGCTTGGTACCCACCGTTATGGAACAAACACTCAACGACTCCAACGAAGAGCTTGTCGTGGAGTCATTTGGTCTTTTAAGAAACTTGACTATCGAGGAGGGTTACGAGGTGGCCAAGTTTTTATGGCGCTCAAACATCTGGGCTTCTATCGAAAGTGGGCTTACCAAAATCGAGAACTCGCTCAAGTTTATGCAATCAGAGCCAAAAGGCATCGACAAGAAAATCACACACATGTTGTTTGACTTCATCGAGAATGTACTTTCTCTCATCGTGCTGATTGCTAGCTGTTCAGACGACCTTTATGAGAGTATATACTCGAAAATTGGCCGTGTTGTGAATCTTGTTATCGACGCACTCAACTGGAACATAGCAAAGTTGAGGACAGTGAAATTGTTCAACTCCCTTTTGGACTTCATCTATGAGTTTGCCTCCGACTCCGCGGAATTTATCACATCATTGGCCGATATGCCCTCATTTTCATTACCCAAATTGCTCGAGGCTGTTCAGCTGCCAGCCCACAAGAACAACAACTTGGGCAAGATCTACGTGCAGGGAATTTACTTTCATTTCCTCGAAGTCAAAGGAGATGAAACCACTACTAAAGATAACGCGTGTGCTCATTTATTAAAAGCCACATTTGACACGGTCACCAGCATTGACATCAACAATGTCAAGACTTGTTTATCTACTGCTGATAACGCACATGAACCAATACAAAAGCCAAAACCAGATGAAAAACTCGAAGATATCGATGTACCTTTCGGCGGCGAGTCTGCTGAAAAAATAAATGCACGTTCTGATCTTCAGGCAATTGACATTTCCATCGACTTGTTCACAAGCATATGCGAATACCTTGCTTTGAATGAGAGCGAAATCCAAGAACAGACATCTTTGAATGAGTCGCTTATCAATCTCTTCTTGGATGTTGCCCACCCTTCATATATGCATCTCCTAACTTTTGATCAAGAAAATGACGAAATTCTTCAGTTAACCTCGAAGTTGCTTATTGCTTACAACAACATGTGCTGGCTCTTCTTGTCCATGGATGCTATTCCAACTGCGTGGTATAGTAAGATTCCAGAATTATGGGAAGCCGCTGAAAAAGTTGCCAAGACTGAGAATTTGGAATACCAGCGTTTGACATTGAATATTTTCTGGGCCCTCACTAAGTCAGTCGGACCTGAGGTGAAGGATAAAGTATCTTTGGAAGACGTGAAAGGCCTTTTGACAAAATGCAACCTTTTGACTTCAAGCATGGGAGAGGCTAAAGAGCTTGATCTTTCATCCCTTGAATACGTTTTGTCTGCTATTGGGTTCCTCGGCAGTATAGCACAAGTGATCGGTAATACAGAGATTACGAGTGAAGTTTCTCAGCTTTTAGTTGTCTTGATCAGACATTTTGCCGCGTCTCAGAATAACATGAAAGAGGCAAAGGCAATCGAGATTCCGATCGAGTGTTTGAACTTACTTTATGACATCTTTGGGGATGCCAGCTACGAGTATGACCTCCCAGTGTTTGTACAACAGAATTATTTGCAAAAGTTAGAGGAGTTGGAGCCAATTGTTAAATCTTGTTATAAGCATATTGACAAGAACAAGAACCCAGAATTAAAGCTCCGCGCGGAGGAAGCCTGGACCAACTTGGGTAGATTCATCCAGTACAAGAAAAGCGAGAGACAATAATGTTAAAGCTGGCACACAGTTACTTTTTTACATTAACAATTAGAAACTCTATATTCGATAGATTTTTCAAACCCTCTAGTTTTGTTTCGTAGTAGAGCCAATTGATCAGGGGTGATGGTGTCTTTGTTTAATCAAGTTCAGGTGGAAAAGCCTCTTCATCGACAAGACTCTCGTAGTCACTATCGGATTCACTGTCCAGACTAGACTCACTATCCGGTTCATCCACTCCATCACTAGAGTCCACTGATTCCGGCACATTATCATGTTTCTCGGGCACACCTACTACACCCCATTTGATCTTGGTGACTTCCTCAAGCCTCTCAAGTATTTCCGTCATCGGTGTGAAGAGCCCAAACTGGCGGGATTCTCCATCGTAGGAATGAAGCATACCAGCGACACCCAAACCTTTAGTTTCCAGACTGCCCCGAACATCCTCTAGCTTTGTCAAAATCCATGCCCCACTATCGCCGCCTGCAGCAAAAGAAGTGGTACTCTCAGCGGAGTTCACGACAAATTCCGAAGAGTGGATTGCTCCGTCCATCCAGTATACTAGTTTTATACCGTTCAAGTTTCCTTTGGTGAACTTTGTAGTTGAGCCATACTTGAAAACAGGTATTCCGTTCATGTTAAAAGTCCCGTCACCGTTACGCGTGGAAGTGGAAACCATGGAGTCCACTTCACGGACACTATTCAATTCGCTCTCCTTTGTATGACGTCTAAGATCAATCATTCTTCGCACATATAAATTTTCGAACATCAACGATGGATCAAACTCATTGAAAGCGACATCGTCACCTAAATAGTTTTGATCGCAGTGTATCATTTTGTTGACTTTAATGATAGCCAAGTCACTCAAGCGTTTGTCTTGCAACAATGCGCCATCCTTATAGTTTTTGGCCTGTATGAGAGTTCTTTCACCCCAAATGATTTGGCCGAATCTGGTCTTTGGGAGATTTTTTTTTGCCGATTCCCCCTGAACAGCCAGCGACTTCACTTTTTTCATCGGAAATAATTCGTCAATTTGATTGATAATAGAGCTATACGCCACATGCGAGTCAATACGGCTAATGTACCCTTGCGTAGAAAACTTATCATGCTCGCTCAAGAGAGCATGCTTGTAAAGACTTATGAGTACAGCCAGAGGCGAAGAGATATATGGGTAGTCTGGGCCTTCGCCTTTGGTTTCAAGGCATACATGTCCACAAGAAATTGCAAATTTGGAGTTTGCGTATGACCGAAGATGGGGCAGCTGCTGTTTGTCGATGATCGGGTAAATGAATCCACCCATTGTGCCACTAATTCTCGCAGAAGTTTCTGTGGAGAGCGATAGTGACATTGGAGGGCGAGACGGATCCAAAGGTGTTCTGAATGGAAGTTTAAACTTGTGGGAGAAATCCGTAGGTTCTTGAGACACAAATGTTTCTGTTTTTTGTGAGGACACAGTTGCAGCCCCTAGCTCAATTCTGTTCTTTGCAACAATGACATGGATATCATCATAAAAATCCTGAATTGTAGTGGCAATTGTTGAATGATGATTGCCAATTGTTCGATATCCAAAATACAAACAGAGGACGTTCATATCTTTGCTTATTCCACGAGCAATAGGTGCAATAAAAGACCCATTTTGCTCGTTGACACCGAAATCATAGCTTGAGATTTTTGCCATGATTTTTCTAATTGAACCTTCGTTTTTATGTGGCTTTCCATCGTTCACGCCTATTGCGTAGTTGCAGGGCCTCGTCATACTTGCCAGAGCCAGCTGCGCAGAGTATATCGTGGTGCTTTTTAGTGTGCGGTTAAAGTCGTTGAAAGTTTTACACATAAGCAACTTGAGTTTCACGTATGCGTCATCTTGAAGAAGATTGTCGTAAAAATGCAAGTAGGTCTTGAGAATCCTCCGCACATCGTCATTATTGTAAGAGTTGAAACTCCACAGAACAAGGAAAGGTACAGAGTTCATGAATTTGATGTACTCCTCAAAAAAATTGATAATACCAATCACTGTGGTCGAAAGAGTTGAAACTGAGTTTGTGTACTGGCTCAGAAGAAACGAAATGTCTTGCCATAGCACATGTAGTTTGTCTGATATGAGTCGCAACTGAGAGGCGGGATCGCCACTGTTCCCAGCTACGTCATCATTCTGTGTATCTTCGGAAGCCTCCAATATCTGCAACGTCTGGCCGAAAGGAGCGCCCCTGTTGTAATTTTTCTTTGATCTCGAGCTTGTGTTGGAAAAATATGATGACTGTCTAGTGGAATGAGACACTCTGCTGGAGAACAAAGACCGATCGGGCTGAAGGGAGCTTTCTGCAACCAGAGATTCCACGGCCGAAATAGAAGGATTTAAATTTAGACTTGTATCATTTGTGAAGTTTCCATGGCTCTCGTTCACGAACATGGGTTGAAGTTCTTTGAGAGAGTCAGATTCCGAGAGAAGTGATTCTGTGCCTGGCGCTGCGGCTGCCAGCTCTGCCTCGGGGTCTTGCAGCTTTTTCAGCTTCCCAAGAAGTTTGTTCATTTTTCTGGACGCCATATGTTGTGTTATTGGAGTCGACAGAGTTCAAGTGCGATGCTGGTAAGAGCGTACCCACTAGTTTTTCTCTTCGCACGCTCTGAGGTTCGGGGCCGCATTCGCCGCGCCTCTATATACGAGCTACATAAGCTGGAATTGAGGGAATAGAGATCACGATATCTTGCAAGTATAATTTCTAACTGTAAACTGATCTCGAGAATCCAAATATGCCACGCCTATATGATGGGAAAATTTAGCGAGCCTCGCTCTGTTCAATCAATTTTTCATTTTAAAATAGTTTTTCTGTCGAGGCCCCTGGTAAGGGGAATGACTCAGGAAATTGTTCCACAGAATATCAACCATACATATCATTCTGCTAAGAGTCACGTTACAAATGAGCCGGGGCTTGAAATCAATGAAGCAGATTTACACTTAAATATTAAATTTTATACGTCTTGCTAAAAGATCGTAATTTAGCACAGCACCGCCTCAGGTGCAACAGACCAACCACGCTGGCGTGACCTGTCCAGTACCCTCGGAGCGGGGACTCCGTGTACTATTTTTTGGAGCAAACTGTGGAATTTATGCATGTTGGTGTTGAAGTTTCGATAGAATCAAATGAAACAATATCGAATGAAATAAAACGACATGACCAATTTTTGGCCCCGACAGTCTATTGCACCAGGTCCGAAAACAGCAAATGAAAGTCACCCGATCCGCGAAAAAATCTGGGGAATCTCAGCACACTGTATATAACGTCTTGGCCAACGCAAAACCTCCACCATAAAAAAGGCTAGTCCTTCCAAAGTCACACACCATCCTCTCCGTACTATTCCCCACATACTTTTTGAACGCATAGAGTCCTGAGATTTTCCTCATCTCCTCTTTGCCAAAGCCCCTTTCATCTGCTGTTCCCAGAACGTCGGGGAAAAAGTCACGCGTACCTGTCCACCACCTTCCATAATGCCCGTATACTCTGTCTCCCACGTCGAAAACGTCAGAATATGTGTGATCATGGTGGGATTGCCTGCCAGAGGCAAGTCCTTGATTGCACAGAAAATTGTGCGGTATCTCCTGTGGCTTTCTATTGCGGCCAAGTGTTTTAGCGTGGGCAGCTATAGAAGAGCGTTGGCGGGCACCTCGCCTATTTCTGCAGAGTTCTTCAGTCCCGACAACGAGGACGGCATCAGAACCCGAGGAAAGGCCATAGATATGGCAACCGCCGATATGATGCGGTGGTTCACAGAGGAACACGGTGTAGTGGGAATCATCGACGCCACCAATCTGACCCGTGAGAGAAGAGCAAGGTTGCTCAAGCTATGTCGGGAGAACTTGATCGAGCCTATCTTTTTGGAAAGCTGGTGTGATGACCCCGATGTGATCTTGTACAACAGCGCTGACGTGAAGACGACGTCGCCGGACTACGTGGACGTCGATCCGAATATCGCCACCAAGGACTTCTTGCTGCGGATCCAACACTACGAGAAGACATACGAGACAATGAATGTAGATGACGATAAGGACTTGACTTTTATTAAGTTGGTCAACGTTGGCTCGCAGATTATAGTCAACCGGATTGAGTCGTACTTGGAGTCTCGTATCGTGTACTACGTCATGAACTTACACATCAAGACCAGGAGCATTTGGTTGCTGAGACACGGCGAGTCCGAGTACAATTTGTCGGGAAAGATTGGAGGTGACTGCAATTTGTCGGAGCGCGGATGGAAATACGCCAAGAAACTCCCCGAGATTGTGCTCAAGTCCTTAGGAGAAGACAACGAACATACGAATTTGACTGTGTGGACGTCCACACTCAAGAGAACGCAACAAACGGCTTCTTTCTTGCCGTATGAGAAAAAGTTGGAGTGGAAGGCGCTAGACGAGTTGGACGCCGGCGAGTGTGACGGTATGACCTACGAGGAGATCGAGGAGCAGTTCCCAGAGGACTTCAAGGCCAGGGACGACAACAAGTACGAGTACCGGTACCGAGGAGGCGAGTCGTACCGCGACATTGTGATTCGGTTGGAGCCCATCATCATGGAGCTCGAGCGCCAGGAGAACATTCTCATCATCACGCATCAGGCCGTGTTGCGCTGCTTGTACGCCTACTTCATGAACGTGCCCCAAGAAGAGAGCCCCTGGATGTCTATTCCGTTGCACACGTTGATTAAGTTGGAGCCCCGCGCGTATCTGACGCTAGTGACACGCATAAAAGCCGACATCCCCGCGGTCAGCACGTACAAGGAACGAGGCACCTCGCAGCTCGGCGAGCTGGAGGTCAACACGTCCGTGAGCAGAGACTTGATAAGCAACAGCTCCAACGAAACACCGGGTATATAGCCAGGGACGTGCGGCAAGATGCGCCGGGGCAAGTAGAGTATGGGTGGCAATAACATTCGGACATAGTATGCGGAGCTCTTATCAACATCGATTTTGATTTCGTAGGTATACATATTTTACAGAACACTTCACGCAGTGCGGGTGCCGCCCCTAGTTCGGCGTGTGGTATCTCTTGGCTTGATCCCGCACCTTCTTGTCGTATGTGGCGCGGTCCTTGCTGAAGGCCTTCCAGGCCGGCTCCTGGGCCGGAGAGTCCGGGTTGGGGGTGTTGAGAAGCTCCTGGATGCCCAACACAATCTGCTTCAACGTGATGGCCGGGCGCCAGTCCTGCGATTCGTTCAATATGGACAAGCACACCGTGCCACTGGGGTACACGTTTGGATGGTAGAAGCCCTGGGGGAACATGACCTTGGGTGGCTTGGACGGGTACTCCTCGGAAAAGGTGATGGTGATGGGATATGTGGCGTCTGCCCAGAGCGTGTTTGGCTTGCCGGGGATCCCCGCCTCCCAGTGGGTCAAGTCCAAGCCGCCGTCCTCAGCTTTCTTGGGGCGGGCATAAAATCCAAACGGATGGTCCTTCCGCCATTGCTTTCTTTCTTCCTGCAAGCGGGTTTTACAGAGCGACATAGTTGGTTCTTTGGTGTGGAAAAGGCCTGTGCCGGCGGGAGGGTCTGGGGTAGGGTAGAGATATGGGGGGGGGGGCCAAGCAGAGGTGTTTTTTTTCCTTCTCGCGGTGCGGGTCTGGCTCCAGGGCGCCGTGCGCGCGGCGCCTATGGGGCCAGGGAAATCTTGGTTGGGGCGAGCGGCTTCAGGCCCTGGAAGTGCGCACTTGCTGGGTCGCCTACTACCTGGGTGGGTTTTGCAGCCACGGCAGACCTATGCCCCCGGTCTTGAATGGGAAAAACGAGGGTATTAGCATGCTCCAATGGGGCACTTCGGATGTTCTTTGAGTTTACAGGGTATCTGTGTTTGTAGGGTATACAAGTCGAGGCCTTGTGTGAGAGGCTTTTGGCATGTCGCAGCTGCTTCCAACGGCCAGTGGGCATCCAAGCAGACAAACTTCCAGCAGAAGTGATTCTTTTTTTTTGCGTAGACGGGGAAATGCTTGGGAAATGCTTGTGGTGGCCCTGCTAGACAAGACACTGCCGTGATATCGGACTCTGATGAATAATCCAGAGATAGAGCTCTCAAAACCGCGGCTGACAGACTGCCGTGGAGTATGTGTGGCGGGCTTTCTTTGGGGACTCGTATTCTTCTAGGACGCGGTGACGAGTACTCTTGGGTGATGAGCATTCTTGGTATTGAGAATCATGGAAGTCCTGATCTGGAAGCCTCGCGGATCTAGCCAACCGGTTGTATTGGGGTACGCTCGCGGGATCAGAGGCGCACCGGTGTGAAGAACCCAATAATACGCCGAATCGTGCCACGCCCATTTTTCTCCTGATATTCTTTTCATTTACACTCCTTCAATCCCACAACCCAGACAAGCGACGCAGAGCCCCCGAACCACATCTGCTGGAAAAACGTGTAAGGTATGCGTTCGCTCCGCTTATCAAAGTGGAGGGCCTCGGGCGCCAGGCCGTTCTCTCACCGCGGCCCGCGGACCAGCCCCGCATGAAGATACGCCCCACCTTCTTTTTTTCTTCGACGTTCATAAAAACCGGCACGCTCAACTTCCAGAATCATAAAACACTTATCATGGCGAGTGAAGAAAAAGCCGCGTCTATGCCGCCCACAGCTGACCTCGAAGACGACGACTTGGACGATTTGTTGGATGAGTTTGACGAGCAGGTCTTGAGCAAGCCGCCCGGCGCACTGGTGGCGGAGAGCCAGGATGGGCTTGCGGCAGAAACCGACAAGAATGCAAGCGCCACCCTCAATGATGAGTTCAAGCATAACATCGAGGATTTAATCAAGGATCTCAACATCGAGGACCCCGAGGCCAAGACGCAGTTCGAGCAATTAGTCAAGCAATTCGAAGAATCGCACATGGAGGAGGCCAAGAACGCACAGACGCCTCAGAACTTCGACAACGTCATGAAGGACACGATGGAGCGCTTGAAGAAGTCAGGGGAGAGTATCGATGAACAAATGAAAAAAGACCCATCTGCCGGAAATCCGGAAGACATGCTCACCCAGTTGTTGGCAGGCTTGGGTGATGGCTCTGCGGGGGACGGCGATCTTGATATGTCCAAGCTCTTGACAGACATGTTGGATCAATTGTCGTCGAAGGAGGTTCTTTACGAACCCATAAGGGATTTGAACGCGAAGTTCCCGGAATACCTAAAGGAGAATGAGGGGAAGATCTCTGCCGAAGATCATACAAACTACACCAAGCAGTACGAGGTTACGAAGGAAATATTGGCGGTTTTCGATGCTCCGGGATATGACAACAATAACCTGCAGCACAGGGATAACGTCAACTCCTTGCTAGAATCATTGCAGGAGCTAGGGAACCCTCCTACAGAACTAGTTGGTGACGAAAATGACTTCCCAGGGTTCGGCGGTGGCACCGGTGCCAGTTCTGGTTTGGACTTTGATTCAAACGACTTGCCGAAGGACTTCGAAAATAATTTGGAAGAAGGATGCAAGCAAACGTAAATTAGACAGATTATTCCAGTTAATGCGGCCGTTCACATGCTCAATCCACTGCGGTGGGCAAAGTCCTTGTAGTATTCAAGCATCTCCGGTGTGATACCCCGGGAGATCCCCTTCAACGCATGTTCGAAATGGCGCTCCTCAACGTTGTGTGTGTTTTTGTTCTCCATGATCGCCGCAAGCCCCGCCTCTTGACATAGAAGCGCCACCTCGGCACCCGAACAGCCTTCTGTGGATTGCGCTAGCTTTGTAAACAACGCTTCTGAATCACGCACATCAAACTTGGTGCATTTCTTGGTGATGAGGTCCAACCGAGCTTCAAGGTCGGGAGGTGAAACGTAGATGTGTCTGTCAAGACGACCTGGGCGCAACAAGGCAGAGTCAATCTCCGATGGCCTATTGGTGGCAGCAACCACAACCACTCCTTTAAGTTCTTCGACACCATCGATTTCGTTAAGCAACGACGTGAGAACATTTTGGGAAGCCAGGGTCGAGGCGTCTTCTCTGGAAGATGCAAGTGCGTCTATCTCATCAAAGAAAATAATGGAGGGAGCAGCTGCGCGTGCTTTTCTGAAGATCTCTCTGATGGTGCGTTCACTCTCACCGACGTATTTGTTGAAGATCTCAGGGCCTTTCACGGCCAAGAAGTTGAGCCCAGACTCCGAGGCCAAAGCCTTGGCTGTGAGAGTCTTGGAACATCCTGGGGGCCCATACAACAACACACCTTTAGGGGAAGATATACCCAAGCGCAGAAACGTTTCTGCCGCTTCAAGAGGCAACTGGACAACTTCTGTGAGTTTCTGTTTCAACTCATGCTGTCCAGAGATATCGCTCCACGAGACTTTGGGCATCTCCAAAAAGATTTCACGCATGGCAGATGGGCGTATGTCCACGAGTGCGGCTTCGAGGTCACGACATTCAACTTTAGTCAGAGGGTCGAGATGGTCGATGTGGGCCAAGTTGGCCATGCCCGAAGAATTCCCGTCACCCGTATCCAGGCCTTGGATTCCTCGGGCAATGGCCTTCATTACACCCTCCCGGCACAAGGCCGACAAGTCGGCACCTACGTAGCCATGTGTCTTGGACGCGATGGTTATGACGTCGTCCTCCAGAATTTGGCATTTCTGTTGGTTCATCTTGGCTAGCTGTTTTCTCAAGATGTCCGCACGGGCCTCGACGTCCGGGATTCCAACCTCGACTTCTTGGTCGAAACGGCCGGGGCGTCTCAAGGCAGGATCAATGGAGTTCGGCCTGTTTGTCGCTCCAACAACAACAACTCTGCCCGCATCACCCATGCCGTCCATCATGGTCAAGAGCGTCGCTACCACTCGGGACTCGGTTTCTCCTGCGTCTTCCAGGCCTCTCTTGGGAGCCAACGAATCGATCTCATCCATGAATATGATTGCTGGCTGGTATCTGACGGCCTCGGCAAACAAGTCACGCAATGCATTTTCGGTCTCTCCCAAGTACTTTGACACAATCAGCGGCCCGTTGACCATGAGCACGTGGGCATCGGATTCATGCGCCACGCAACGAAGAAGCATGGTTTTGCCGGTTCCGGGGGGTCCATGCAAGAGAATGCCGCGTGGTGGGGATATGCCAAAGTCCAGGAACAAGGAGGCGTGATGAAGCGGGATCTGGACCGTGGAGCGGAGAAGCGAGATGGGCTTATCGAGCCCACCCACCTGGTCAAATGCATAAGGGCGTGGTAGTCTGGGGAACTGCGTGGGGTCAACATCATAGTCCACGATGCCAATGTCCGTGTTTGGGATGCAGAGATGAGGCGGCGACACAAAAAGCTCTTTACTCGCTTCTGAGATGGAAAGCCCGGCCATTTGGGCCGAGACAGAGGCTATGGAACTGGCCGAAGAGGCGTTCAGGTCGATTCCCACGACCCGGATCGTCAGGTCTTTGCACGGGATCAGGAGCCCCGGATGAAGCAAACCTGCTTTCTTCAAAGCGGCCTTCGCCGATTTCTCGTCGATCCGGCCCTCGATTCGTGCACGCACAGCTTGTGCAAACGGCACCTGTTTCTGGTATCTGCTGATGGAGATACGGTCTCCCAAGAGAAGGCCCGCCAACGCGCGCGTTGCCTTTGGAACAAGGACCACGTTGAGCTCCTCGGATTCGTCTGTATGGTCAACCAATGTGAGAACATCAGAGCCACCTTCCTTGGATACCACCACGAACTGGCCAGGCGAAAGCTCCAATGCCTGCGCGATCTCTGGGTGTAGGTACACGGTCGTATGGCTCTTCAGAGTCGGTCTTGTGATGAACAGTTTCGGGACCTTTATTTTCTTTCCCTCTGCTGGCGCAGCATTGGGGGCGGTGGTTTTTTTCTTTGCTTTTGACGACATTTGATGGAGCGAGAGGTGAACGATGACGTGCGATGAGCTCTTGAATCACAGTATGGCATCACTATGCATTCCTGTGCGGGCCAACTCTGGTCCCGGGTATTAACGCACAGCCAATAATATATCTCGAAAACCAGTTGAAGATGGCTCCGAAATATATGTCATGATGCCTTTGATTGCGGGTTCTCCACTGAAGTCTGGTACTTGCAGTATCCGACATTATGGGCATCTGTGACTTTTTTTGGCCTGCCGTAGACAAAGCAGACGACACAGCGCTCACGTCTCAGAAATGCGGTGCGATGCCTCCGCCATATTCATTCGGGTGGAAAATTTCCCAGCCTCAACAGCCGCATGGCATGGCGAATCCATGAGAACAAAAACTACACAAACACACGGACTAGGTTTCTCTCGCATCTAAATAAAAGTGTACCGAGCAGCTTCGACGAAAACAGAACGACCACATGCAAATAAGCACACAGGCACGGGCAGCTATATGAATCTTAATGAGACCAGTGCTACGCCACCTACGCCGGATCCACTCCGTACCAGAGGTAGTTTCAAACCTTGAACTTTTTAAGCAGCATCGTGATCTGAGCTTCACACACAAAAACCAAAGAGAGGTGCCGTCGCTTAACGATGTGCAAGAGTTGACGCAGGCACAGCAAAATGTTCAGAGTCGGTACCAGGGTGTACTCGAAGAACTTTGTGATAGTCCCGAATTCGAGGCTGTCTTGCGGGTACGAACGGAGCGCGTGCAAGCTTTTCTAGGAAGCAAGCTTCCGCTCACTTTTCACGAGCTTCTAAGTATTTTGTGTGGCCTCTCGAACATGAACATAAAGACATCTCCACTCCCGACTGGCTCGTTGTTTGGCGATGTATTCACGCAGCAAGACGCCCTAAGACAACTTGGAGCCCGTTTCTTCGACTTCCATTGTGCCAACACGCTTGTCTTCGGCGATCTCCATTATTTATCATGCACTGCGGAAGAGCTCGAGCAAAGCATATCAATATTTCAGGACAAGGAAAGTCTAATAATGAAACTTATGAACGCCAGCGATTTGAGCGAGTGTGTCATTCCATACCGCGGGGTTCACTCGGCTGGACTCATCAAGAATAGAGCCACGGGCTTCAGGCAAAGAATAAAATCTCGAACGTGTGTGGCCAGTTTCTACTCCATGCTCGGAATATTGGTCCGGAAGTTCGGCTCCGAAGCCGTTGTGAGAGATTTTTGGAACCCTAAAATGCTACATCCCATACACGGACTATTGCGTATTGCTTTGAATGACAAAGAAGTCAACTAAATATACAAGGAAGCACAAAAAACGATGTCTCTCTTAATGCGCTCCTGTGCTTCTGACATCTTGGAGTGAAGCATCGAGTCTCCCACAATTAAAGCTGCATTTTTCACTTGACGACAGATTTCATCCAACCGCGTGATGACTCTGACAATCGTTCCCTCCAGTTCCACGCTTATCTGCATAATTTCACTAAAGGTTAACCCTCTAGCCCATTCATAGACAACATTCATCAATGCAAATCTCTTACGAGTCAAAAATTCTTCTTCCTCCGAGGTAAGCGAGACTTGGTGCTCATTGTAAATTTTGAGAAGTCGCTCGGTAATTTGCAAAATCCTGGTCTTACCTTTTTCCAATCTTGGAGTTAACGGTGGATCTTCTTCATCCTTCGAACGGCCCTCGTAAACGAAACAAGACAACAAGGCGACAATCTCCTCGGGCTCGAAATCCCCAAGGAAGTTGTCCAAAATGAGCTCAGTAAGTACAAGCTCCCAACCAGAGTTAATTTCACAAGCGACACGGCCCTTGAGCACAACATTTTGGTTTTTATCGATGAAGTCTAATTGCTCGAGAACCCTTAATCTCTGTTCATAATCTGGAAGTAACTCTAAGTTCTCATCCGAAATTAAGAGGTTCAAGTTTTCGATCTTCTTTTCGATTGTGTTCCGTTGGAGAAGTCTTGAGTAGACTCCTGCAAACTCAGGTCGATTATAGATTGTCATTTCACTAAATTTCTTTAGTAACTCATCTTTCCGTGCGACAAGTTGATGTAACGACAACTGCACTGTTCTGCTAAAGGAGACCTCCTTCAATTTTGACTGATAGTGGATCATCATTCTGAACAGTAGCACAGCCTCTTTCACTGCATCTGGATCGTTGTTCAATATGGCTTTCGTGTTGACCTTCAGTGTGTAGACACTGGCGAATTGGACATTTCCGTAAGGAACACTGGTTACCCTCAAGTCTCCATCGTATTTGATCTGTCTTAAATTCTTCCTAAGGTAGTCTTTGTTGGGGATGTATGGCAAACGACTGGCGCGACTCGCGTCTTCGTACTCTTTGCCATGATTGAAGGTCAAAAAGATATACAACTGGTTGGCAAAGTCAATCTTGAGGAGAATACCAAACCGAAGTACCTCATCTTCGTCTTCAAACAACATGAGCTTTCCAAATCTTAGCACCTGATATCTTGAAGAGGACAGTTCTTGACACTCAAGAACAATCTTCGTATATAATTCCTTGTATTCAGCCATGAGGCCGAATGCTTCCTGGAATTCTTTCGACTCTGCAGTTTCTTCCACCGTAAGACTTCTCAATGTCTCACTCAATTCTTCAACCTTAATTTTATGTTCTGGTAAAAGTGTTTGAGTGGAGTTTTCACTAAAGGAATGCTTGATCATTTCTTCGACACGCAAAGCTTCAATTCTGAGCAAATTCAAAATCATGTTGTAAGTCAATCTGAATTGCGACAGAAGCTTTGTTGGTTTACCCATAGTCACATCTTTGAAATCTGCAGGTTGGAGTGGGTGTTTGTATGACATGACGATCACCGTTCCAGTTGTATCTAGGCCTCTTCTACCGGCACGACCTGCCATTTGGGTAAATTCGCCCGGGAATAAGTTTCTGAATCCTCTTCCATCATGTTTCCTCAACTCACAGAAGACAACAGTTCTTGTAGGCAAGTTTAAACCCATAGCAAATGTTTCTGTAGCAAACAAAACTTTGATCAAAGACTTTGAGAAAAGAATTTCAATACACTCTTTGACAATAGGCAACAAGCCTCCATGATGAACAGCAATACCTCGACTAAGAAGGTCTCTAATTTTCAAGATTTGAGGCAATTCACGATCCTCTTTCTTCAAGCGTGCCACCGCACGGTCAATGAACATATGAATTTCAGAGCGTTCTCTGGCGGTACAGAAATTCACTCCGCTCAATGTATCAACATAATCTTCACATCTTTTTTTCGAGAAAACGAAGATGACAACGGGGAGCAATTTTTTCTCATTGAGATATTGCACAAGGCCTATCCATGTACTTTTGTTTGGACCATCCCTTGCGAATTGGGACTTTGCTTGCATGCCACCACGACCACCACGTCCTGAAATTCCTCTTCCTCTTCCTCCACCACGATTACCACCTCTTGCCGTGCCTCCCGGGCCCTTTCTGGAGCCTGCGCCCATGGTCACATTTGGAGGAGCCTCTTTCGTGTCGGGCATGAGAAGATCTCTGTGCTTTTTAAACTCTGACTCGCTGAAGACACCATTTGCATTGATGGCTTTGAAAAGATCGTTCTTCGCCCAAATAAAGATTTCTAAAGGAACTGGCCTCTTGGGTGTTGAGATGACATATATGTCTTTTTGCTTTGTTCTCCCAACCCAGTTTGCAAACTCGAACGTATTTGGAACTGTGGCAGAAAGAAGAATGTATTTTACATGATCTGGAAGCATAATAATGACTTCTTCCCATACCACGCCTCTTTCAATATCGTTCACGTAATGCACCTCGTCAAAGATGACGAATTCGACATCTCTGATGAGATCTGCACCTCGGTAGAGCATGGACCGCAAGATTTCTGTTGTCATGATCAAACAGTTCGCATCTGGGTTGATTTGAACATCACCAGTGATTAATCCGATATCCATATCTTTGAAAGTCTCTTTGAAATCCCTGAATTTCTGGTTAGAAAGAGCTTTGATAGGAGAAGTGTAGATAGTTTTAGTCATGTTTCTTGCAGCCATGGCGATAGCATACTCGGCTACAACAGTTTTACCTGCCGAAGTATGAGCAGCCACGAAAACCGAGTCGCCTTGCTCCAAATGATAGACGGCTTCCTTTTGAAATGTATCCAATTCAAACGGCCACTTCCTAGCCATATTCGGTACGATATCGTCAAAGTTTTCAATTTTGTGGTTCAAGTCCACCACATGTGCCCAATTGTGCTTGATGTCTGCTTCTGCATCCATCTTGTGTTGAAGCATTTTGTAGTCGAGCGGTTGATAGTCGTCAATCTCACCAATATCACCTAGCTCGTGGATCTTACGCTCTTTTTGACTTTCACCAATGTTAGAAGCATTCGAGTCATTTGCAATTTTGCTTGACGGCTGGCTTTCGAAGTCTTCGTCGTTCGTGGTCTCCTGCCCCAATGCAACGATTCCGTCCTGAGAACCCGACGACTCGCCCAAATCCAATCCCCGCAGCATTCCCTGTGGTATGTCAAATAACCCCTGATCATTTTTGTGCAAAAATTGAAACTCCGGGTTCACGTTCAGTTTTTTCAATGACTGGTTCGTTTGCGTCTTGTTTAGAATGCCTCCAGGTTGGAAGGGAAGATAGTTTGATTTACCCTGCACAGCATCCAGTTTGGCACCCAAGCGACGATTAATGGATAGAGAATTTGTAGCGTTGGCGTTGTCGACCTCAGAAAGACGCAACTCTTCTTGGAAGCCCGTGACGGATCCTTCTATACCACCTCTTTTGAACCTGAAGGATGTACGGTGGATCGCCTCCGGTTGGATCAAAAGATCCTCAAATAATTTCTGCTTATTAACGTCAGGTACTGATTGGACGAGTTCAAGCAAATCCCACGTGAGCCGTGGTGAAGGCTCAAGCAACTCCTCAGAAAGCTCCTCGGTGATGCTGTGAGAGTGCTGACCCGTGTTGATCCATTTAAGGCACTCCTCAGGGTCGAGAAATTCAGCAGCAGACATTTTACCTTGTCTTATATTTCGTCGATTCAAAAGCGCCCTTATTGAAACACAGTTATGGGCTTCCGTTTTTGCGGTGAGTTGTACTTTGTATTGAATCTTGCGTATATGACGCGAGGGTTGCGAACAGCGAAACGTTGGAGTTCGCGCCTCCAAAGCCAGTGCGAGATTTTGCAAGGTATTTTTAATTCTCCCGATGAAAGACATATTTCTTACATACTGAGGGGGGGGAGCTAATTTTAGATAATCATTTAGTTGGCGATATTTAAATTTATATTGAGAGTTGCGGTGAATAAGAGAACTTGTTATTCATTTCATATTTATAGAGAACTCATAATTTGGGCTTGCTCGCATTGATTCCTCCCGCGGTGGCTGCGGGATTGATTTCCAATTTGCCATTTTCGTCTTGCTTCTTGTCTTTCCCGAAAAACACAACGGTTACAGTCAAGTCATCTCTGTAGCGTCTGGAAACAGGATTTGGGATCGAAATAAGCATCAGGGTCTGTTCACGGGAACCACCATTAGACAACGCATTTCTGATCAAGTGCGTGGACACATTTTTATCTTCCATGAGAAACCCGCCGTGCGAGGACTGTCTATTTTTGCGAAATGGTTGTTTGCTGCTTTTGTCATTTGTAATATCGGCAACTTCTGGCAAGCCTTTTTCGCTGGATCCGAAGAAATTCCAGAATGATTTGTTTGGTTTGACCATCTTTTCTTTTTCCATCCACTTTACAACAAGACCCACAATTTCCTCGTTGGAGAGCATTTCGTAGAGGCCGTCGGACGCCATCACCAAGAAATCGTTGTTCTCCGGGCTGATTTTTGTTGTGGTGATAACTGGCTCAGCGGTGACATAAGGCGGAGATCTCAAGTTGTTCGGGAGTTTTCTGCCGAAAAACTGCTTGTAAATCTTTTCCTGGATTGATGCAGGGAGTTTGTAGCGGCAGTCGCCAAAAGCCCTCGATGGCTCCAAAGTACCCAAGACACGCCCATTTCTTATAACATTTGGCTCGTCCGGATGCTCGGAAATGATCCTCGCTACCTCGGTAAAATTGGAGCCTGTTTGGTCGATACTGAGTTGACGCACAGTCCATTTATTTTCCTTGAAAGAACCGAGAAGCGCCCGGGAATCACCGGTGACTGCGACTTTCAAGGTCTTTGAGTTGGTGTCGTAAAACGAAAGCAAAGCACAGGACCCAGACAAGGCAGGCATTAATAATTCTGCAGCCTTCGCTTTGTTATTATCGTTCAAGAGTCTCTCGATGTTCTTGTTTACGATTTCGTGATCCAACTTGAGGAAGCCGTTTTTGATGGCTTGGTCAATCGTTGAGCTGCTTGGCACATAGCGAAGGTTTTCCTCCTTTGCCGGCTTGAAAATCGTGCCAAACTCGTGAACTATGTACAGAATCAACTGGTCTCTCAACTTCGACGACGTAGTCCAGCCACCATGGCCGTCGAACACACCGAAAAACATCCAGTCTGTCGAGGTCTTGATGTTGTTGTCTTGCAAAATCGGTACCTGAACAATCTCCTCCGCTCTGTCGTCCTCGATGGGCGAGTTTGATGGAAGTTGGCAAATATCGTACCGTGTGACGCCCTTGCCACGGCTCACATAGTAGGATTCTTCAAATTGCCTCAATTTGGCACTGACCTGCTCCTCGTTCAAGAGAAACACGCCTTCTTTGTGTTGCTGTGCGCCCAATCCATTCTTCTGGAGCATCGAGCTTGTTGCTGACTGGAACAAGCCACTCTCGGTATCTGAAGGTGCAGATTTCAGCAGGGGAGCATTCGTCATTTTCAGGACATTGCTGGCCGACAACGAGGGCGGCACGCTGTCCAATTTATAGTGCTTGGACAGGGTCAAGGTGACGTATGTGCCCACAAACACTACGCCAGAAACGAGCGCCACGTTGCCCCTGCTGAAACCCCGCGGCACCTTTTTCCTGGTTGCACATGAGTTCGACAATAGCCTTTTTGAGGCCTGTAGGCGGCGAGAGGCAACGTAGACAAATCTGAGTCTGGGATTGAGGATGTACATCTATGAAGCTCCTAGTGTTGAGTGCGGAGAACCAGTAACGGAAGGAAACTCAATTCAAAATAGGCAACGTTTGGGCCGTATTTAGATTGCAAGTATTTTAGATTTCAAGTTCTATGATGGCGTTCTGGAACAGAAAAGGTGGTTTTTCTGGGTGCCTGGTTTGCATTCCTTACGTCAGGCCCGGCGAGTATATGGGCAGACAAGGAGAGTGCGGGATATATGCAGGGTCCCGTGGATGGGGACTGGCGTGGAAGTGGTGGTTTTCTCCGGGCCGTCCTAGCCTCAGATAAAATAATGCGACCGGGAAAGATCCGTGCTGTTCTGGTCCAACACCTACCAGGCAAAAGCTTAACCCGCGCCAGCGTCATTATCCAACTACAGGGAGAATCCAACGGCACGGAAAGGAAGGCCTTGAAAAAGAACCAATGCATCTACAGGAAAATTAATGTACTGCTGTTTATTAATTACAGGAACATCTGCCAGTCGCACCAACAAATTTATCTCATCGACAATTGCACCAAATCCTGATAGCAACACCACAACGTCAGTGCACCTTTCGGTGCACGGCACGCCTAGAGCACTTGGGTACAAAAAACTCTGCTTCACACGTTTCATTAACACAACTCCGATAAAATCATAAATGTCGGCGGTCGCCGCAGCCCCGCTTAAATGTTTCTTCTCCAAGAAAAAACGCTTAAGCAGCAACGGTGACTTCCACATCCACACCAGGCTCAATGGTGATCTGGGTGATCTTCTTGACGATTTGAGCTGGGGCAAGCAAGTCAATGACTCTCTTGTGGACCTTCATCTCGTAAGCATCCCAGGTCTTAGAACCCTCACCGTTAGGAGCCTTTCTGGTGGTGATCTTCAACACCTTGGTTGGCAATCTGATTGGGCCCTTCTTAACAATGTTGTTTTGGACAGCGTTGTTAATGATGTTGGAGCAGACCTTCTCCAACTGCTTGACCTTGGTGGAGGTCAAGGTGATTCTGATCTTGTGGATCTCTTGGGCTTGTTCCTGAACTTTCTCCTTGTTGATTGGGGCAGACATTGTAGTTATGACGTTGTGAAGAGAGGAGGATATCTGCTGTGGGTTTTTCTGAAAACTTTTGTCGGGGTGCGAGCCTGTCTGGTCACGTGAGATGAGTCTCTTAGGGCTTGAGACCTGATGAGATGCTCCTGTCACGTGCACATGTGCATTCGTGAGACAGCAGGCCCCATGAGGTGAACACTGGCGGTTACGAATGGGGGGATTTCCTGGACCATTTATCAAACAGCAGTCCTGTTTAGCCGGTCTTTGTTTTTTGTGTGTAGGCGATTCAGTTGGGATAACGGCTAGTATAGATATTTCTCATTACTCTTACAAGTGCGAGCAGTTCGCAGCGTCAATTGACCGCGTCCAGAACCTTCAGAGAGACGTATCTTAACATGCCACATGTCACCCGAAGAGATAACAGTGAAACAACTCAGTCCTTATTCTAAAGAAGACTTACCCTAGCGCCCGTTAATTACCTTCTATTGGTTTGTGGTCTATAAATGGCCAGCAAAATTCTAGTTGTGGCACACGGTAGCTAATCTTGGTTTATTTACAATCGATATCGCGGTATTTTGCACCCATCGTCGACACAGTGAAGAGCCTCCTGTCGCTCTGCTTTAAAAAAGGCAATCGCTCTTTGTGATTGCTGTTAATATCTTAGTTTGTCTCTTTCGTGGCTTAAACTTTCTATTCGGCGGTGGAAAGCTCCCGGCTGATTCCACGCACACTTTTCCACAAGACTTCCAGTTCCTTCTCGTCTGCATTCCCAGAAGTGGCCCATCTAATGTGGCCCTCGCTGTCTAGCACATACAAGTACCCAGCGCATGTATTACCGCACTTCAAGATAGTCTTGGCGTCCAAATCTAATAATCCATGTGGAATCAAGAAGTAGCTATCGTGCCTAGCGGGATTGACCTTTCTACGCAAGTTACCCTTTGAAATACCAGCAAAAAGGCCCTTAGCCCATGTCTGAGGAATATTCAAATCGACGATTTGTGCACGGGGATACTTCTCACAAAACTCTTCGTAACCTTCCTCTGTGAGATACTTCTCGACGTACGTGTTGGCACACTTCTCTCCCGAGATTGTGGAAAAGATTCGCAATATCGTGACTCGGTCTTTCAAGATGTCAGAAAGTCTATGCGTGTTGTTGGAAAGAGTTTTCGCCATCAAATCAGGAAAGAACTTCGACTTCTCTTTTTTGAAGTAAGACGCCGGGGGCTGGAATATTTTTCCCTTTGTGTTGTTAAATGACTTAAACTCATAAAACGAAGAATGCTTGAGATCGTAATCAAGTTGTCTTTGTCTTCTCTCTTTGGCCTCTTCGCTAAACATGTCCCTTATCGAAGTTTTCCTTTGACTGAGCTGAATCTGCTCATCAAACCCAAACGGTCTGGAAATCACTTCAGGTTTTGTGAGGGCCGGTTCTGACGTGGCCAATGCAGACTTAAGAAAGCCCGGCACTTTCTTTTGTTGTGCCCTTACATACACACTGAAAAAACGGGCACTCATTGGTAAATAATCGCTACTTAGGGGATTAGCTTGGTGATGATGCGCATTGCATTTGGCCTGAGAGTCGCGAGTGCATCCGGTTTCAACCCGCTCAAGTGGAAAGTCTATCAGTACTCCCATTCAAATAAATAATTATGCTAATGTAAATGCTTTGGGTTAAAAAAATAAAGACCAGTGTCTTCAATAGGGCTTTTTTAATTTTTTGGCAAACAGATCTCCATGTTGAAAAATAACAACTTGATTGCCCAAGAGCCATGAATTAACCACAATGTTCTCGCTCTTTCCAAAAAACGCGAGGAAGAATGTTAAACTATAATTGCAAATGAAGGCTTTAAAATCCATAGAAGAAGAATAAGTAAAGAGAAGAAAGCAAGCTTTTCTAGGTTCATATTTATTCATCGATAAATATCTTCTTAAAAACCACTATTTCAAAATTGTCCTCTTTTGCCTAATATTTCCGACGACGTTAGGCCCACCAGCCACCTGCACCTCCCAGTGCAACCGGAGAAAAAAAGTCGGTCGTCTTCATGAAGTCTCAACATTACCTAGCTCAAAAAACAACAACCGACCAGCGTATCACAGTCTGAACCAGCTACCCATAAAAACACCATGAGCATAAACCTAAGAGACGGATTGCTTGGCCAGTCTGTCGACCATGTCCTCGAAGATCTTCTTGTGAGATTCGTCATAAATGTACCTGACGAGGACTTGTCCTCCATTGAAAGGGTGTTTTTCCAGGTCGAAGAAGCTCAATGGTTCTATACCGATTTCTTGCGGACGCTCAACCCCGAGCTACCAAGCATGAAGATGAAGAGCTTTGCTCCCAAAATATTGAACAAATGTCCGTTACTCTGGAAATGGGGCGACCCAGCCGACGCATTGCCTAGGTTCGGAAAGTATAAATCCACAATTCCTGTCAGGGGAATTGCCATGTTAAACAAGGACTTGTCCAAACTAGTATTGTTGAAAGGTCTTGAATCAAACACGTGGTCGTTTCCAAGAGGAAAGATATCTAAAGGCGAGGCTGACCTAGAGTGTGCTATCAGAGAAACACGTGAGGAGACGGGATTTGACGCTCGTGAATACGTCAGTGAAAATGCCGTGCTCGAAAGAACTATCTACGGCAAAAACTTCAAGATATATTTGGCAAAAGGTGTCCCCGAGGACCATGTTTTTGAACCTCTCGTGCGGAATGAGATTGCGGAAATTCGCTGGTTCGACATAAAGAACCTTCTGAAACTCGTGAAGAACTCCCCCAACAAGTATTTCGTGGTCAACACACTTCTCAAGCCCTTAACTAAATGGATCAACGGCAACAAGGGCTTGGTCAGCGACGAGCAGTTGATGAGGGATGCCGAAATCAAGTTGAAGGCATTGATGGGAATCACTCCCAGCGCCCAAGCCAACGCCGATGCTGGCAGAGAATTGCTCGACATTTTGCAAGGAGCAAAGCCACAGACCCCCCTTTCCAATGTTCCAGTTGGAGGACTTCCAGTGCCGCAGCTGCAACAACAGTTCATCCAAATGTCACTTCCACAGCACTTGCAAAGTGTGTACTCGGGATTTGCTCATATGCCCCAGTTCTTTTCTCCTTATACTCAAGGCCTGAACCATACTTCAGTGGTTTCCCCACCTGAGTTTATTCCACCACATTTTGAGAACGCCAAGGTCTCCTCCGCTCAGCAAGGCTCATACGAAGCTACTCAACAGCCTCAGGTTCACACCTCGGCATCATTGCCCACAAACGCACAAGCGCTGACCAACTCCAAGGAATTGTTATCTATATTGAAGGGAACTACTACACCTAAGAACACTGGAGTGCCTGACGTATCCCCTCCTCTGAATAATTTGCAAGATAAGTCCAGCCCGGCAGAAGAACTTCTACTGATTCTCAAGAAAAGCAAACCGAAGCCTAAGGCAACACAAAAATTGCCTGCCGATCCTCCTGTCACAACTTCCCGGCCGGATACGCCGTCCAAGAAAATCACCCTATTGAAGCGCGACAAAACCGCGTCCGAGAGCAATGCTTCGGCCACACTCTTGGGAATTTTAGGTAAAAAGCCTCACACTACAGAGACAAATGTTCCACAATCAGAAGAGAAACCTGTCACGGAAAGCAACGCCAACAATTCTGAAACACTAAAATCTTCTTCGAACGGACACCCTATAGAACAAGGAAAGAACAAACTAGCATCAGCTGAACTATTGGGCATACTCAACAAGTCAAAAACAGGGGAGCTATCTGGAGATAATTGTATGAAACTGCAGCTCGAATCATCAGAAACTTCTTCGAGCTCCGCTGAATTGCTCAACATTTTACATGCAAAGAATCATATCCCTATCAGCAAAGAAGAGGCAAATGGTGACACGCCACATATTTCAGAACAAAAGCCTATACGCCTTGCCAAAAGGAGTGAAGAGGTACCTGCAGACCTTAAAAGTTTTTTCCAAGGTGAAAGTCAACCAGGCAGCGAGCCCTCGTCCCAACCAGCAACAGATTTGAGTGCTGGAAACCAAATCTTGCGTCTCATAGGTAAAGACACGGAAGCAAACAACTCAAAGGCCCCTCGTAGTGGTCAAGAAAATGATGAGAATTTTGACGACTTCGATGACTTCGAAAACTTTGAGAACTTTGATGACTTTGAAGACATCCAAGGTCCACCCAGTCACATTTATGATCTAATCAACAAGACGTTGGATGCGCAGATGGACGAAGAAGATATGTTTGAGGATGCTCATTCCCACATGCTCCCTGTCGAATCTCAGACTGCTCCTGCCGAATTCCTGCCGATTACTCATGAAAACAAAACTGCGCCAAACCACTTGTCAGCATATCAAAATACTTATGGCTTCCCAGATGTCGGGATCAACAAAAGTGTCTCAACTCCGCAACCTAAGCGCGCACCTTCAACTAACGGGGCAGATATCCTTCTGCTTTTGAGACGAAACTAATCAATTACGCTACAGAGTGATCCTGTTTCGAATTTATACTAATCGATGATCATTAAAAAGAATCTGTAATTATGATTTTCCAGCAGTTTAGCCCCCGAAGAAAAAAGCTTGCGCATTAGTGCTTATTGTCCTGGGCTTTTTAGTATTTTGTTTGACTGATTTCAGCTTATCTTGTAAGCCGACGCGACCAGCGCGTTCAAAAATGGGCGGAGATTGGATTTCCTGGACAAGAACCGGAGCCGGGCACGGTTTCACCAATATGTCAATGTCTTTCATGTAGGCGAACGGGAAGGTCAAGGGCCGGTTCATGGCACCTAGATACCGTTGCTTCCAAGCAGGAACAAAATTGTCCTCCACATTTTCTTTAAGAGGGTCCACGACAGCAGAAAAGAATTTTATATCCCACAACATCTTAGATGCCACTAAGTCATTAGACTGTCTCAGTAGAAAGTGGAACTTGAGGCCCAATTTGTATTTTGATGCTGCTGCGAATTTATCGTCTTTTCGGACCAACCTCCATTGTGTTCCGGTCACTATGCTAGTATCATTAGAATCCTCAATTCTTGAGAACAGCTTCTCGAAACTTTCCAGTAACAGGAGGCGAAGATCTGCTTCAACATACGAAAGCTTTGAATCACCGCAGTCTTTGAGCAAAGCAAACAAGCCTTTCTCAGTGACGTATGGACATCCGGAGAGTACTAGAATCTGAAGATTGGACTCTCGCAGCGTCAACCGAGATTTTATTGTGTAGAGAAGCTGATCATCAACTTGACGATTTCCCGATAAGTCTAGAGCTCTTAAGGAGGGAATATTACACAACGAAAGAATGTCAGAAGTCGTGAAAGGAGGCATTTTGGAGCAGTCGATGGCAATAGAAGCTTGATCCAAGCCACTGACAAAAGTTACGAAGTCATTGATGGAAATATTTGAGAATACATTCTCAACTCGATGTTTCTTGTAGAACGGAATGAGACACGCGTTGAGAGCGCTGTTCCGCAAACCTTTCAAGCTAGTGTGTACAAGATTCACGTCAGTGTTAGTAGAAGCATGACAAGAGAAAGAAATTTGATCTCCAAAACGACGAGCAAACATTCGAAATAGCTCGGGCAGATCAGATCCATTTTTCAAGATCGTGCTCCACACGCTCTGCCAACAGGACCATGGCGCTTCCTCGAGGTACGATGGCGAGAGCGCATCAGAATTAGCGCCAACAATTTCGGCACATCTCTCTCTTAGTGAACTCGTAAATTTGCCTCGTCTTTCTGTGTTGTTGACAAAAGTTTGGTGCAATGGAGGTACGTGCATCCACAGGTATAGAGACGAGCCGGAGGCACTGAACACGGGCTTCTCTACGACTGGTTCTGGTTCCTTCAGCTTCAATATCTTTCCCTTTTTACGTCTACGACGGCGGAAAGACTTCCTGACCCCCTTTTTCCGATCATACTTCCGTTTGCCGAACATGTCTATTGAAGGATGGTACCTCCACTTGTTGCGAGCCCACTGGGATGCGCAAAGAGTCCACGCAGTCTCATCGCAAGTTTGGTACGCATCGAGTTTCTCGTATGTAGGAGAAGAAAAAAAGTCGTGGAGTACATTGTGATTACAGTCTCAAAGTCAGGAATTTCGTACTGGGGAGTATTTTGGTGGTCTTCGGAATTTACCTCTCTACAGTTGAAACATTGCAAGGATACTTAGCCCACACAAATAAAGAAATCCAATATGAAGCTTGATACATCGCACATGCGGTACTTGACCGCAGATGACTTTAGGGTCCTTCACGCAATAGAGATGGGATCCAGAAACCACGAGTTGGTGCCCACGCAGATGATTCATTCCATTGGAGGGCTCAAGTCACCTTCGGGTACCAACAGGGCCCTTGGAGACTTGGCCAAGTTGAAATTGGTGGCGAGATTGAGAAACGCAAAGTACGATGGATTTCGTATCACATACCTGGGTTACGACTATCTTGCTCTCAAGCTGATGTTGAACAGAAACACTCTCTATTCGGTGGGTTGCACTATAGGTGTAGGAAAAGAGTCAGACATTTACTCTGTGAGTGACCCTAACGGACAGCAGAAAGTGTTGAAAATCCACAGATTAGGGCGCACGTCTTTCAAAACAGTCAAGAATAACAGAGACTATTTGAAAAACAAACTGACGTCGAGCTGGATGTATTTAAGTCGCTTGGCTGCCGAAAAGGAGTACCAGTTCATGACTGTTTTGTATGACAATGGCTTTATCGTGCCCACGCCTTACGACTACCTGAGGCACTGTGTGATGATGGAATGGATCAGAGGCTACACCATGAAACACATGAAAAAGTACCCCTCGTATAAAAAGTTGTACTCCGACTTGATGAACTTCATAGTTAAGCTTGCTAACCATGGTCTCATTCATTGTGACTTCAACGAGTTCAACATCATTATCAGAGACCCTGAGGATGCCAAAGACCTCGAATTCGACTTTGTCGTAATCGACTTCCCGCAATGTGTTTCGATCGAGCACGTGGATGCCAAGTTTTATTTCCAGAGAGATGTTGATGGAATTAGATCATTCTTTGAGAAGAAGTTCAATTACACACCCGAGGACGACTCTACGATGTTCGATACTGAAGGTTATGGTGAGGGCTACAAGCACGCCTACCCTGACTTTGGTAGAGACGTTCGGAGGGTAAAAGAGTTAGATGCCGAAGTGAAGGCGTCTGGATGGACTAAGAAGAAGAACAGAGAAGACCGGGACTTGGAAGCTGCCGTTGAGGGAATGAGAGCAATTGACCTCGATGAAGCACAAGAGGAAAGTGACTCCGCAGATGCCGACGAAGAAGGGCTGGAGGCAGAGCTGGAAGACGAATACGAAGATGAACTGGACATTTTAAATTCCTCTGAAGAGGTGGTTGATGATGAAGAGAACGAGAAGATCATCGAGGCGATATCAGCTGGTGGCAAGAACCTCAAAGTTGACAATCTAGGAAACTATATCTTAGACGAGTAAGCTTTTTTTCTTGGTTAAAAAGAGATTCTCATGTTCGTATATTTGTGAAACAGTAGAAGCTGAACGAAAATAATAAAATGATTTTCTCAACACTAATTAATACATCATCCTTTTACAAATGCTTAACGGGTAGCCATACCTTTGGTAACAGCTCTCTTCAAGGTCAACTCAGCCTTTCTGTAGTCGTCACCAGTGGAGTCCTCGATCTCCAAGGTTTGCAAAGCGTCAGACAAAGCAGCCTCGATCTTGTCCTTAGCGGACTTCTTCATCTTAGCAGACAAGACTGGGTCAGTCACGGTGGACTCAACGGAAGCGACGTAAGCCTCCAACTTCTGCTTTTGCTCGTGTCTCTTGGCGAAAGCGTCGTCAGAGTTCTTGAACTTCTCGGCGTCAGAGATCATCTTCTCGATCTCCTCGGTGGACAATCTACCGATGGAGTTAGAGATGGTGATGTTAGCAGATCTGCCGGTAGACTTCTCGAGGGCGGTGACCTTCAAGATACCGTTGGCGTCAACCTCGAAGATAGACTCCAAGACTGGCTCTCCAGCTGGCATAGGTGGGATGTTCTTCAAGTCGAACTCACCCAACAAGGTGTTCTCGGAACAGTTGACACGCTCACCTTGGTAGACTGGGAATTGCACAGTGGTTTGGTGATCAGCAACAGTGGTGAAGGTTCTTCTCTTGATGGTTGGGACAGTGGTGTTTCTTGGGACGACTGGAGCGAAAACGTTACCTTGCATGGCAACACCCAAAGACAATGGGATGACATCCAACAACAACAAGTCCTTGGTGTCCTCAGAGGTGGACTGACCAGTCAAGATGGCACCTTGAACGGCAGCACCGTAAGCAACAGCCTCATCTGGGTTGATGGACTTCTCCAATTGCTTACCCTCGAAGAAGTCAGACAACAACTTCTGGACCTTTGGAATTCTGGTGGAACCACCGACCAAGACGACCTCGTCGACGTTAGATCTTGGGATCTTGGCGTCCTTCATGACCTGCTCAACTGGGGCCAAGGTGGACTTGAACAAAGCAGCGTTGATGTCCTCGAATCTAGCTCTGGTGAGGTTCTCGGAGAAGTCCTCACCGTCGAACAAGGAGTCGACCTCAACGGTGGTTTGGGTGACAGAAGACAAAGTTCTCTTGGCACGCTCACAAGCAGTTCTCAATCTTCTCAAGGCTCTGGAGTCACCAGAGATGTCAAGACCGGTCTTCTTCTTGAAAGAAGCGGTGAAGAAGTCCAACAAGTTGGTGTCGAAATCTTGACCACCCAAGTGAGTGTCACCAGCGGTAGCCTTGACGGTGAAGACACCACCAGTGATGTTCAACAAAGAAACATCGAAAGTACCACCACCCAAGTCGAAGATCAAAACGTGTCTCTCCTTCTCGGACTTACCAGCACCCAAACCGTAAGCAATGGCAGCGGCGGTTGGCTCGTTGATGATTCTCAAGACGTTCAATCCAGCAATGGCACCGGCGTCCTTGGTAGCTTGACGTTGAGCGTCGTTAAAGTAAGCTGGGACGGTGACAACAGCCTTCTCGACCTTCTTGCCAATCTTGGCCTCAGCAATCTCCTTCATCTTGGTCAAGACCATAGAGGAGATCTCTTGAGGAGAGAAAGTCTTGGTCTCCTCCAAGTAGTCAACCTCGATCAATGGGTTACCGTTGGAGTTGACGACCTTGAAAGGCCAGGTTTGGATGTCCTTTTGGACGGACTCATCGTCGAAAGCACGACCGATCAAACGCTTAGCATCGAAAACAGTGTTCTTTGGGTTCAAAGCAGCCTGGTTCTTAGCAGCATCACCAATCAATCTCTCCTCAGCGGTGAAAGCGACGAAAGATGGAGTTACTCTGTTACCTTGCTCGTTGGCAATGATCTCCACAGCGGAGTCGTAAGTAGCAACACACGAGTAAGTAGTACCCAAATCGATACCGATAGCACCCTGGAAAACACCGTCAGCCATTTTTATAAACTTTTAATTTTCTGAGAAAAGGAGGAAGAAGTGTGTAGAGAGGGAAATAGCGACATTTAAATGAGAAAATTTTTCGCGCGAATTTTTTTTTTTCGAGCAGAGCTTCGTGCCAGAAGCCCAACGGAAAACCCGAACCTCAGTTATTGGACGTGATGACATATACGCATGTGAGTAAATCTCAGGAACAACCATCGGAATGTCTAAACCAGCAGATTCACGGTACATTGATCATCGAAGGGTGGGAAAAAGGTTTCATTCGCGAAACCCCATAGGATTAATAGGTTTATGCTAGAAACGGAATCGGGTAGAGAAGAATTATTACTCCCAAGTCTGAAATTCGAAAGGATGTTGGACTAAGCGAGTAATTCTGCGCACCGTATTTTTCGCAGCCGCTATGCAACCTTATTTGCAGCACGGGGTTCACCGCTGGTGTAACTTATCTGCGAGTTCCGAAAAAACATTGCATCATTTAACCCTAGATGTTTCGGTTATGAGAGTCATTCCTAAAAAAACTCACTTGCTGCGACATTCTAGTAAAGCTCTCCGAAGCATGACCTTAGCCTGGGCGACTTGGTGAGGTTTCCCCTTTAGTGAGATGGTTTGGGGGAACTCCTGCGTTCGGAATCTGCTATTCATTGTTTCTAGTGTGACGGGCAAAACCGAGATCCGGCAGTGAGTTGCCTCGCGGATCACGTCAATCCTCTTTCCTTGGGGCCCAATGATGGCACTCACTTCACTTTTGGACAACCGTATAGTTTCAGTGACTTGAGCGAGATTCTCATTGGAAAATGCATTGGTGTTTTCATTCCGATCGGAATAATCATGCATAGTTCTTAAGGGAACGCGGCCCCAGCCTGGAAAACCATCTTCTGATTCTGTTTCCAAGTCTTTAGGTTTCATTTTGTGAACCAGAATCTCCTGAGAAGCTACAGAAGCCGGATGACTTCTGTATATTTCTATCGTATTGCTGGGATTTTGCGACGATGACAAACGACTGACATTAGTGTCTTCACGTCTTGGAGGAACTCCAAAGAGACGATTTCCTGAAGCCGAAAGAGAAGGTGGTGGTGGTGAGGAAGCTTCAGGGTCTGAGACTATGCTCAGTGGGTCTTTCAACTCTTTCAAGAAGATATCCACTTTACTCGCGATTTTGCTCAAGGGTACACGGATAGAATACCCAAAGAAGGCTTCTTCCAGAGCGTGTACTTGGGCATTCAAGTCATCCACTTGAAACCGAATGATATCAAAGCCTGTGGCAAGCAATAGTTTCAAAATGTTTTGTCTGCTGCCTTGCAAAGTAACTCTCCAAGACCCCGGCGCTAATTTCTTGAAAGAAACATGAGTGTCAGGTCTCTGGGGACGGACCATGAACCCGAAGCATTTTTCCCAAACTGCAATGGCCAATACAACTTCGTGAGTTGTCAAAGAGACTCTTACATAATGACTCGGCTTTTCATGGTTAAGTAACACCTCCAAGGAAAACGCATAGTTTGAGAAGACTAGAACCTCAATATTGTGGAGATTTTCCAAAGAATACATGTCTTACAAATTTAAGTTGTGTAATTCTCGAATCTCTAATGAACGCAGTGCCGGTGACTTCTTCGAAACTAATATCTTGTCCAGACGAGAGGTTCGCTTGAACGGGTACAAAGTAGGCGGCTAAAACAAAAATATGTAGGTAAAATGCGACGCGCCTGTGCGGGACAACCGAGTCTATAGTGGAAGCTGCTGCTGCGAAAAGCTGTTTACAACACTCAAGGGAGCTGTGACAAGACAAATATAGCATAACCCAGGGACATATATTGGTTCTCAATGCGGGGTAGTGTATGAACATCTGATCCAGCTTCAATTGTAAAGACTCAAACACCCCCGGGTTGAATCTGTCCTGGATATCTAAGATTGGGCATCCTTCCTCTGAAAATCTTGATTTCTGAAGTTAAGGACTCAAATACGAGCCACATGTTCATGGTTCTATTCATGGGTTCACTATGTTTGTTTGATGCTGTGAATTCGCTTAGCAGCCTGATATAGGAAAAGATACTGTTGCACAGTTTGGACCATCATCATTCGATGATCACGAAGAGTTTTCACAGTTTCAAAAACAATATCAGTCTCTGGGTCCTTCGCAAGATCTGCTCTAATAAAATGATCTATCGCTATGAATGTGCCCGTTCTACCCACCCCAGCAGAACAGTGCACCACAGGAACAAGATTTGGATCTGTTTGCTTCAATGCAGAGATCTCTGCAGAAAGCAGAAGAAGGGGCTGCATTGAGTTTGGTGTCAGGGTGTCTCTCCAGCCCAGATAGTAATAATGGTATACAGTCTTGGAGACGTCACCCGATTGTAGACGAAACCTGGTAAGGACAAACAAGTCAGTGACCTTTTCGCTGACCCATGATAGCCTTAAGTCGTTCGGCGCTAGACGGTCTGAGTCTAACATTTTGCCCATATCCCACGCACCTTCCTCTCTCGTGGGCCAGTACTGGAAACACTTCTCACGATTCAGCTCAACCAACGGGGTTACCATGGCAATGAATATTGACAGTGATCCGGATTCTTGCGCCTGTGCGAAACACATGGCCCAAAAATGGTGGACTGTGTTCCTTAGTGGGCCCTGTGCGGCAATGTACTTGCTACCAGCTAGCTGGACATAGGACGCATTGATATAGTCCGAGCCGCCGAGTGTTGGAGACAAACTTACTCTTGTCTTATCCCAGGGTAGAACGTTTGAGTAGCGGTTTCTGTTTCTATTCACTGGATCGAAAGCCGCATTCACATTCCATTGTGATCTGCTGCTTGGTTCTAAGGCTTCCGAGAGATGAGAGTCACAGTATGCTGAGATTTTTCTGAAGCCAGCCCGTTGCTCCAGCTCGGAAATATTCAAGAATCTCGGTTTGACTATCATTTTCGCTGAAGCAAGATTGCGATGGTTAGGCTCGACTTGAAGCCCACTGAAGTTTCATGTCAATTCGCTTGCACTCTCAGACCTATGCACAGGCACTGCCCATAGTTATGAGCATACAGGACAATATACTGGGGGGAATGGACGAAAGTGCGTCAGATGCGCAGACTCGTCATCTTTGTTGCAAAGGACCGCAGCTATCTGATGGGAAGCCTGACCCTCTTTGAATTTTCTGTTTACCTCATTTTCAGTAGTTCAGGAAAATGCACTATTTCTAGTATTCCAGAAAATAGCTAGGACATAGGCTTCATCGTCAAATTTTCTCGGTTACCTCGACGCAGTCCATACTTGCCGCAATATCCAACACAGCACTAGCAACGACAGTCCCTGAAAAAGCTACAATACAAGAAAAAAAAAGGAGAAAATCAAAAGAAATAGAGAACAACCTCACACGAAATCATCTCACAGGGGATGGCTGTCCCAAAAGTAGTTCTCGCGAATTTTTATGAGGTTCTATGATCTTATAGTCTGGCCGACCAAGGCCAGCAAAATACGAATGCGGCAGTTACAAGAGGGCGTAATTGTAGATCACGTTCATTTTTTTGGTTGGCTAAATGGTAGCACCGCATCACTCGACCAAAGACACCACTTGCATCTTCAATCTTTCCCCAACGATATCGTCTTTTGGAATCACGCCCGCCGTTTTCAAAACCTCTGCCGTGTTCTCCACCACGGTGTGCCAATCAATTGGCTTCACACCAATCTCCTCGTTGAATTTGACAGTCGTGAGCCACTCGCGGGCATCATCTACGGAGTAGTTCAAGTGGGTAGAGATATGGTCGACGGCCTCCTCGGGGTTCTGCAAGAAATAAGCCACACCTTTCTTCACGGCTCTCAAGAATCCAGACAAGTTGCTTTTTCTCGTCTCAAAGACGCGTTGGTTGGCAGTGAAAACCCACGACGGCCACGGGGTGTAGATCTCGCCAATTCTCTTGATTTCCCCGGAGTCGTAGTATTTCTTGGAGGTGAAATGCTCCCACATGAATGCCTCGGAGTCGACCTGCTCGCCGGAATCGCTTCTGTACTTCAAGTTCACCGAGTCCCGCAAGTTCTGGAAGTTGTGTACGACTTTGAAGTCACTGAAATAGGGCGCAGCAAAGTTGTTCTGTAAGCCCAAAACAAACGACATCACATAGGAGCCAGACCCAATTCTAGACACGCCAATCCGGCTGCCGGCCAAGTCGGCCGCACTTTGTATGTCATCCCTGTTCTTTCCGGTGGAAATGGCCCAGCAGAGCGGACTTTCCACGTACGTGCCTACTATGCTGTACAGTTTATTGCCCTTCGAGATGTCGGCCACAAAAGCCTCGGTCAAGCCGACAGCCACATCCACAGTTCTGTCATTCAACAACTTGATGAGTCTTCCCGAGCCTTCGATGACCGGGAAAAACTCGATTTCTAAGCCTTCTTCACGATAGTACCCCTTCTCGTCTGCGAGAAACATCGGCGTGGAAAAGTGCTCGGGAATGTAAGCCACAACTAATTTCTCCATTCTGGATTGTCTGTTTCTTGGGGTTTGGTGTTGTTCTTTTTTGAAGAAATAAATGCAAGAAATCGGGTAGACGCAGAGCAGGAAGACGGGGGCGAATAGTTCACTGCCGGAAAGATGAGCTCATTCCGTTGTGGCTGATCTGGTACATCGACGGTCGCAGCACGTGACGCGGAATTCAGTAGTGGGGTACAGCACGCACCTTGAAATGTTCCAGCATTTTGAAATGTCCACGCAGCGGAAACTCCACGCACAGGATGATGGCTTCCAACGCCAGAGTATTTCTCCATAGATAAACAAAAACAAAAACAAAAAAACTAGCAATGGGCAATGGATTATGTATGTTAAACCGTAGTAAGGTATGGGAAGGTGACCTAAAAAACTGACGTCCAGCTGCAGCGACAGCCGAGCTGTCCATCAGCATGTACTTGAAATAGGGCGGGACCGGAGAAAGAGTGGAAATGAGATGGGGGAAACGTAAGCCCCATTTCAAAGCTCTCAGCATGCACAGTCCGAAGCCGCCGACCGCAGGTTGTTGCCGCTCAAATCAATCCTGCCGCCTTCACTAGGTACAGATACGTCGGGCGACGTTGACTTTGCTTCCGGGATCTTACTGCCAATGGCAACAAACACATCGTTGACGTTATGCGACGACTTGGCGGAGGTCTCGAAGAACAACAAGCCTTCTTCCTCGGCAAGCGCCTGGCCCTCTTCCACCGTGACTTTCCGCAACGAGTCTTCCGAGTCGTTGTCGTTTGCAACGAGGTCGTATTTGTTCCCCACCAACGCAATGGTGATATCTTTGGATGCCTGCTCGTGTAGTTCCTTCACCCAGTGGCGGGCCTTGATGAACGAGGCCGGCTTTGTGATGTCGTACACTACTAACGCCGCCTGTGCGTTCCGGTAGTACATGGGCGCCAACGACGCAAAGCGCTCCTGGCCCGCCGTGTCCCAGATTTCATACTTGATCGTTCTGTCACCAACGGTGCACTTCTGAGTCAAAAACGCAGCGCCGATCGTGGGCTCCTTGTTTTCCTGGAAATCGTTGCTGACGAATCTTAGCACCAACGACGATTTGCCCACGGCGGCTTCGCCGAGAAGAACTAGCTTCACGGATGTGGTGTTTCCAATCGAGTTCATATGTGCGGGAATCCGGATGGATGTGGATGCAGTTTTCTTAGGGGGATGGTTGTTGCTGGGGGCAAACTTCCAGATTAGGGGGTGTGTGGGATAGTTTGGGAAAGCCGGAAACAGTCAGTGTTTTGCTCGGACTAATCGGCTGTTGTGTCTGGCCACTCGGTCTATCGGTGCAAGGAGAGGCAGAAAAAAAAAAGACAAAAAGTACGACACGTGGATCGGAGTTCGGATAACGCTTGAAAGAAGATCCGTGGAGCAGCTGGTCCTGTCATCCCCGTGACTATTGGGACGCACACGACGCATTGTCGCGGCGATAAGGCACTCGCTTCCTCGGAATGAGGCAGTGCGCCATCTGCCGGCCTTTAATTTTAAATGTTTTGAATGGCATCGTCTCCTTGGGCCCTGGCTATCAACAGGAGATGGGCACGTTGCCTAGGCATCGAATAAAGCATAGAAGCGTCCGTGAGCCCCGCAAAAACGTTGGGATAAAAGCAAAGAAATCGACCAGTGTTGTAATCGTAGCGTGTGCCGATATCACCTGTGCAGACAATGCTCTATCGTGCACCTAGAGTTTCTCTGCCACCCAGAAATCGCATCCGTAGACGAATTTCGACGAGGCACGTACGTCGCTGCTGTATGTGGCCTGGATTCCCGCCCTGTGTTCGGTAATTTTAAACCCCACCTTTTCAATCAATTCAAGTAGCTCGTCTCGTGTTAGTTCGAGGCCCTCCATCGTCGGTTGATCAGAAGCAGGATTGTCGTTTGGTTGCGAGGATTTTGTCTCGACCAGCAGCGTCAGGTCGCCCTCAAAATGCCAATGGAGGGGTCCTATGTTGAGCCACCTGCCGCCCGGCTTCAAGCAGTGGCGTATGCTCTTCAAGTAATCGATCACGTTGTGCGCCGTGTCGACGAAAAAGCACGTGGCAACAATGTCAAACATCTCATGGTTCTGGCCCCGAAACTCAACTGCCGACGCGTCCTGGCTATACAAGCCGCCCTCTGCTAGCCCAGCCGGCCCGTACAAGTCAACGAAGGACCCGGCAGCCATTGACATGAGGTCCAGCACCCTGTCGATTTCCAGCTGCGTTTCACCAAATATCGAGAGCGGGTTTTCGTCAGGCACCGACACTGGGCGCACTTGGTAAAGTCTGCGTGTGGTGTGAGACAGCTTGTGGATGTATGGGAAGATCGTGTGGCAATGTGCCATCTGTACCCTGTTGAGGAGAAACCCCAGCGCTAGGAGCATGTGATAGCTGACCTCGTTGCCCTGTGTCCAGAAGCCGTGCTTGACAAATTCGTAGACGAGCCTGCCTAGGCCACATCCAGGCACCAATACTTTTGTGGAACCGCGGTGCTGTTCGGGAACAAGGTCACATGCTTTTGCAAGAAGCCTGCCATAGGTCTGTTCTCTTTCCTCGGCGCCATCGCAGCTCCATTCGCGGGCTACTTGGAGAAGCGTGGACCGTACTTTATCGTACTCTCCCAATGAAGGCTGGGCCCATTCCGAGGGCACCGCAGGAATTCCCCAGTCCTTTGCGGCCGTGTCTGCCAAGTCTTGTGTGAAAGCTTGGTTGATGTTGATGCACTCGGTAAGGTCACGAATCAAGTTCGGAACCCAAGGCAAAAGGCGTTGATCTTCTTCAGATAGCGACTTGTACTTGATGGATTTGGGCTTCACCACGCGCTCATACTGGTGTTTGTGGAAGGTGTAGAATGCGTTGAGCGTGGCGGTAATGGCCCTGTACTCTTCATCCATCTTAGAGTGTTTGTGTTGCCGAACTTGTGGTGGATAATAAGCTATTTAGTTGGTCAATCTACGAGCTTGGCAGACGCATGGCAAGGTGCGCGCTACTGGGTGAGATTAGCACTAATAAATGCATCTCCGCAAAACTGGGTAAGGCATGTTTCTTGTGATTTGTTTTCATTTCTTGAGGTCGTCGTTGGTCTACGGTACACGAGCATAAGTATTGTGTCCACCTGTGTCTGAGCCACTGTCGTTCTTTTCAAATGTATATAAAGCGACTCTCAGAAAGAAGAAAAAGGCCACAGTTGATTCAGATACTATACTACCAGAGCAAAGTGAGCTCCTTTCAAAAGTCCATTCGGTTGCAAGGAAAGCAAATCAACCACCGAAGTTTGTATGGGGTTCACGTCGTCTGTCTGTTCGGGTGCTCCAGGCTCTAACATCCGAGGGTAATGGGACGTGCAGATGTATGTACTGTTGAAGTTTTCGATGCAGTGTTCTTGCAAGCCAATACGGTCCTGAAACTCCTTACGCGTAGCATGTATATCGGAGATGGAATTCTTCCAATCCACAATGTTATCAATGGGATAGAGCCGCCGGACTTTTTCGTTGTACACCAAGTTTTTGTATAGAATCGAGATTCTTATATTGAGAAACGTGTTGACCCGGATTGCGTACGCAGAGAGTAATTTGAGTTCATTCAAAATTCGAGCATATGCCTCAGGAGCCAAGCAGAGTTTATCGGGATCATCCAACGAATAAAGGACACTCGCGTCGCAACTGTTTGGGAACACGTCCAACATCAAGGGCGAGTCGAAATCTCGAAGAAAGCAGAATTTGACCTGCGGCACAACAGCATATACAGCCTTGCGGAAGAGCCTGAAGAATAAGTTAAGAACCTTTTCGAGTGGGTCCGTGGACCGACTTACCGTTAGAAGCCGGCTGGGTCCTAAATTGGCCCATTTGCGAAACATGTTAAAAAGCACATCTAGTTGAAACGGTATATCGGCCAAGTTATTGTTGACAGCAGGAATATGCGCTCTGATTGAATCCTGGCAGAATTTCCACAAGTCTTCGTAGACTGATACTATGAACTCAAATGTTTGGTGGTTGCGGATCTCAGAGCTCTTGATGGAGCTAATGGCCACTCCCAATCTGCGCAACATCAATTCATACTCGCCCAAGAAACTGGGGTTATATGCGGGCAAATACACCGTTCTCACAATATTTGCCGCAAGCTGCATGTGAACAGGCACGAAAAGTGGGGGCGCAACCCCCATGTTCTTACAAAATTGCAAGGTATAGCTGAGGACGGAAAACATCCCGTCTCGGAAACAGACTGTCGAGTCTAGAGTGGCTTCAGGGTCGTAGATAGACATGATCGACAAAATATAGGATAACGAAGATGCCAATTGCGGATCGCTGTTTTTGTTCAATAGAGACCGGAGGCTCTTGATGACAGCCGCATAGTGCTGGATCAGGTACGATAAAAGGGTTTTTCGAAGCTGCATTTTTTGCTTGTCTGGGCCTTGAGTAAGAGCCCTGCAGCTTCGGAAGACGTTGGTTATGAGATAGTTGGTAGTGAGATTCGTGAGGCACAGGAACATGATACTCAGCGTGTACGCCTTGTAGATGAAGTGGCCTAGCCAGGCATGATATAATTCACGAATCTGCTGCAAGTCTGCTTTTCCCTGCGAGATCAACGGCCCTAAATTTATGATGAACAGGTGAAGCCGCGCGTCGAAATCCATGTCTTCTGGAGACAAGATGTCGAATCGCATGAAACTTTGCTCACCGTGCGGGAGCATTTTTCCAGGGTGGTGCAATGACGTGGTGTCAGAAGCACAATGGTCAAATCCAGCTAGGTTGCTGTTATTGTTTAAAATGATCTCGTTATCTTGCTGCATGTCAGGCAACATCGACTGGGAGTTGTAGCTCCATTGGGGATCCGGGGAATTGCAGAATGAGTAGACCGGATATACGATCTCGTGGCCTTGTTCTGTAAGCAAGTTGTCAAAATTTTGTGTGACTCCAGAGGAATACACCTGGGACGTCAGATCTCGTGAGGACCACCCGGAATCATATTGAGGGGGCTCGGTCGTGGATGAGACAGCACTATACTGCATATCCACCGAGGCACTCAAGCCGACGGGTCCAGCGGCAAGCGGTGAATCATACGTATTTTCCAAGGGCGATATTTGCGAGTGGAACACAGTGTCACCCTTGTACGACGCAGAACTCGCATTTGGAACTTCGGGATACAGAAGGCTCTGTGAACTAAGAGGTATACCCTGCACGTTTGGCTGTGTGAAATATTTCGACAGAGGCAGGCCGATTCCACCGATCACAGTTTGTGTCTTCAGAGCAGCATCCAGCGATTGCGCCAGGTCGTTTTGCTCCGAATCTGGAGTGTCTGTTTTGATGGGTTGTGCCGAGGTTCCCACCAGAGGCGCTCGTCGTGAAGACTCGCGGGATTCGTACTCCTGTTTTGCCTTTTTGAATTCACTAAGCTGTTTTTCCGTATAGTCGAGGTATTCGCATCGACTGCCGTGCTTCTCACAATTGGTGCACTCTGGAAGCGTTTCCAGGCATTTCACCCTTCTGCGTTTGCAGGTAGGGCATCCCAACTTTGAATTCCTGTGTTTCTTGCGGCGAGATGCTCGTTGGTCTTTTGTCATTCTCCACGCATGTAGTTAGCTTTGGCTGAAGCACCCCAGGAAACGCAAATAGTGTAAGCATAATGAGGGAAATGCGCAGGGCCCGTATGAATTCTTCGGGTGTGCGTACAACGCCGCATCGGTCGCCAGAACAGGACGCTCGCATATTACTGATTAAGAACAATTATGATGGTAAAAAAAAGCGACGCGGACGTGGGTGGACGATACAACGTGCACTGAGTCATAAGCAAACAAGTGAATTTTTCGCAGACCTATGCATGTGGGAAGAATGGTACGCAAAGCTGGTCAGACTACCCGAGATGACACCCACTGATTTTTGCTAGGTCTTTCAGAAAAGTGGTTTGATCTCTCGGCTTTTGTGTATTTCGGCCCGTTCGTCCATGAAGGTGTATGCAAGATCACGAGCTCTGGAAAGATTCCGCGCACATATGCAGTCTGCATGAGATCGTATACAGGATCAATGACTTCACCAGAGAGGGCGAATAATCTCCGCTATCTTTGACCATCGAATGTGCCGTCCAGGACTGAGCCGTGCGAAGAAAAGGAAAAATGACGGAGGCAAAAAAGAGTGAGCACTGCCAACACAGATTGCGTGCCGAGCCAGAATTTTCCGACGTCTAAGAATTATCCACTTTACAGCCGAGGAGCAAGCAGCTGAGATTTTGTAGGTTTGACGGTCTGGGATTTTATTAAAACCTCTCGGGCTTAACCTATGCGGATTCCGAGTAGCTTTGCTCATCCACATAAAAAAGAAATGAACGAGCCTGAGCATGGATTGGAAAGTTCTCTGATTTTTAGCGACGCTGGTTTTTGGCATTCGCGCGTTCTTTGTGAGGTCATCGCCGAGACGCGTGTCTATGCACGTTGCCAACTATAACCGTTGGATGAAATCGACAATTTACGTTGAAGGTGAGTGATTATTAATCGAAGGATTTGGAGAGTCATAGTCATCAAAGACCACGTGCATATCATCCAAAAATTTCACTGAATTTTTTTGTTGAAACATCAAGAGGTGTTATACTCGTGTCTACAATGGTGATGAGTATGAAGTTTGGCTTATCATTACACATATTGGTCGACACAATCCGTGCTTTTATATATATTTTTGGTCACAGTATTCCTCGGACACGCAAGATTGAAACACTATTGCGCTTACAGCAGTGTTCATTGGGATCATTGATATGTTTTGCGTTTGGTGCAATCTGCAAATTTCTGCCTTTGAATTTCTTTAGCAGATTCAGACTGATTCTTTGAGCTGTTGGAGATTGCGTCTCTACTACTCAATAAGTTGTCTAGCCTTATGTTTAATTGTTCGTGAGGAATAGGCGGAAGGCGATCCAACTCATCCTTTTTCTGAGAGCAATAAAGATCCACTATTTTATCGGGGTTGAAATCATGATTCGCTAAGCCGACAGAATAGTTGAAAGAATAAGGCTCGTTTTGCATTGAATAATGCTGTCTTTTTGTTTCCAGATGAATCATGTCTGCAATGACAGGATCAGAATACAATTCGTCAAAGAGCGGATAATGGTGGGCAGCGAAAATCGTATTGGAAAAATTCTCGATTTGTTTCTCACGTAATTTGAGTTTTGCCGGCAAAATTTCAATGACATCGCTATATTCCCACGACTGGTCAGGGTCACTAGGTACCTCTCTGATGAATTCATCATTAATGACAGACGTTTTGTAATTATGGTATGCCAAAAGCTGCAGGCGAGTTTCAAAGAACCGAATGATGCGCATCAAGTTCCTTAATATTGGCAGCAAAGAACAATAATTTTGGGTATCAAGGAGATCGGGTTTTGACAAGTCTGTGCCTACCTTGGTACACGTAACATTGCAAGAGTCTGCAAGCAGAACCGATTTCAAAGGGGATATCACGTGGTTGAGACATTTTGCAAGGGCATGATAAAACATGTACATGATCTTTTTCAAGGGATTAGTTTTTGAACTCATGTACATTTTCTCGTCTGGGTACAGATAAAACCACTCATAAGCCATATTAAAGAGAAGACTCGGAGAAACAAAATGAATGTTATCATTTTTCTCATAGTTGTTTTGAGCCTTGTAATAGAGATTCTGAGCAGAAATTTCAGGAAAATATTGCTTAAGTAACTTGTCAAAAATTTTGTTCAACTCGTGAAAATCGTGACGAAAAATAGGGTCGTAAATCACACTGACTAGACCTTGATCGAGGTCTGTACCTTTCTCATGAAGATTAACAAGCTCATCCACGTACGATTTATACTTTTGAAAGTCGATCTGCAAATTGCGTACGACACTAAAATTGTAATCTGGATTGAGCGATTGCCGCAAGAAGTTTTCACACAACAGAAACTCCCTGTGCATAGAAAAGATGGGAAGATTCTGTGAAATGCATTCAGTCAATGAGTTCTTGAAAAGAATCAAAGTTCCCCTGATCATGAGACTGAACGTGTCCAAATTTGATTGAGGATTCGTGAAGCACGCCCACGCCGAAAATAAAGACATACGAGCTGGAAACTCTGGGCTGTACAAACTGATGGAATTCCTCAACTCTGCAATGACTCGGCCAAAAGTGACGTATGATTTGGCAGTGAGTATGTCGAGGTCTTCCTTGTTGTAGAAGAAATGCAGAAGTTTTGCCTCCGTGGCGCCCAGTCCTGAAACCGAAGATGATCTAGAGGAGTCCAGCTGCGGCGAAAAGACAACATCGCCATCGACTATTTTTTCAGAGGCCCTCATGAGAATATTGATTGACTTGTCAATGAAGTAGATGAAGAAGAATTCAAAAACAGTGGCTCTCAAGAAGACTTCCAACCACAATGTGCGAAATTCACGTTCATGGTATACTGGGCGCATAAAGTTGGACTTCACGGTGGATTTGAGGCGTATGTGCGCTCCGGTCTGCTTAAGATCTTTCACTGTTTGCTCAAATAAATTGGTCTGTAGCTCTTGCGGGACTTGGAGAATCTCGAACTTTGTGGGCTGGAACTCGCAATTGGGTAGAAATTTGTCATTTGTCGAAGCTGTTCCAGTCGTAGGCACCTTTGGACAGCTTGTGTCTTGCATTGACACATCATGCTTGTCGTTCGGCGAGTCGATGAATGTTTCCTCCCATACAGAAGCCGTGGTTCTGCCGTTGGGATGACTGTCTCTTTGAGTGAGTGGGACATTATAAGACGCGGCAAGGTGGGTATCATACTGATCGAGAGCGAGAAGCAGGCCCTTTTCTTGAGACTCGAGTTCAGAGGGAATGTGCTCCTCGAGAGGCCCTAAGTCGTGGGTTATTTCGAGAAATGCGTTAGAGTACAACACGGAGCGGACGTTCGGCAGAACCGTGGACGCCGCCCGACGCACATGTGGAGCAGCCTCGCGGATCTTGATCTTTTTTCTGTGGCCACCTAATCCCAGCTGGTTTAGTAGTGCATGCCGTCTCTTGTCTCCGTCGTCGCTAAGAGAAGAATTAGGGGAGTATTCCATAACATCTACGCCGTTTCTTGAATCGGAATCTGCGACCGGCCCCTGTATGTCGTCTCGTCGTTGCACAGATACCTGCTGGAGATGTTGGTTGGGCCCAGTTGGTGCAAAGAGCAGTGTAGGTGACGCCTGTAGCCAGGTGTGGCCACCGCTAGAAGCGTGTGGCCGCACAGCCAAGCGTGGATCCTGCGTGGAGGTAGACTAGGACATGGCAAGCAGTGGCAGCATGCCCAAAATTTCTGGATGCGCCGAGCCAGCATGAGATTGCGGATGAGTATAAGCTTGTAACGCTGGCCCGTGTCTCGTAGCATGCATATACGCGATATTTTGGGCCCGAGGAGACACGAACAACAGGCCTTTTTGGCCTACGGGTATGTATGGCAGACCATCCACAACTCTAGTTGATGGCTGAAAAAACACCTCGTCGTGGCTCTCATTCGGACCCGTGGCTTGCCCATGTGGGTAAAGTGGCGGTGCCCCTAGAAGTTCATGTGTCTGTGTTGCGGCCACCAGCTGGTGTGTCACCGCGCCATAGGATGCATAGAACGGTACTGGATCGTGCTGAACTACGGCAGTAGAGACTGCTGGTGTTGGCCCTGGTGGCTCAGGAATCAAGGAGACCTGCGGTCGGAGCATTTCGTTTTTGCGGCGGATGTGCTCCAATTTCTTTGGTGGGAAGTCCAAGTACCCGCAGCGGTAGTTCTTCTTTGTGCACTGCAAACAGCTGGGAAGGTCCTCGCTACACTTGACTCTGTTGGCGCGGCAGTTGGGGCAGCCGTCCTTGGAGTTCTTGTGGCTTCTTCGGCTGCGGCGCTCCTTGATTTGTGGCGCGGGCTCGGGATCATCAGGAAGCATGGTTGTGTATGTGGCTATCGCTGTGGGCGGCTAAGCAATAGGGGTGAAAATGCTTGTGCCCAATTTGGATGTGCTGGGTCCGGTTTATCGAAGCTCGACGGATGTTTCTTGGGTGACAGATAATGTTTGCCTCCGACCAATGATACCCGGGTTTCAAAGATGTGATGCCTAGAGCGTTCACCCAGAATATTTGCCTGGAGCAGACGATTTTACTTTCGAACACGCTCCAACAGAGAAACCACTCAAATATGTTGGCTTTCCCTCGACGCTTTGTTCCAATTCGACCGTATGCCAGGAATCGCTTGCACTTGGTTCGCTTGCCCTTGGTTCGTATGCCGGTTATGTGGCTTATTTTCTCCTGCCTTATTCGCCAAAATAGATAGGAAGAGATAACAAATTAATTAAAGCACTGTTTATCGAAGCTTCCGATCGCGGAGAAGAAGGATACACCTGCCAGCATGGGCTGCGTTCCTGCTTCAGGCCCAGGACCAGTTTCCAGATCCCCAGGCCAGATGGGGCCGCGGGCTCCATGTGCAGTACCGCGGCCGAAACCGGTTACTGCGGCCCGAGCGGAGCGTTATGAGCTTTAGTCTGGGCGTGCCGTTTGGGAAACCAAGACCCACCCGTCTTTCGGGACAGCCTTGATCTACGGGTGCCTCTTTCTTCGGTTTGCTTTTGCTGGAAGTCGATGGTATAAATTTTAGGCGCGGCCTTGCTACGTGCCCGGGTTCCCGAGCCAGCTGTCAAATATCATGGATCTTAACCAGAGCTCGCCTCCACTGAACCCCGCTTATATATCCTCCATCCAAGAACAAATCGAATCAGCTGCATGGCAGGCACTGCTGGAGATGCCCTATTAGGTACCACGCGTTTAGGCGAGCGCCACCATTTTTTTTTTTTCTGACGCAGGCCCGACCGGTGCCACCTGAACCGAACATCCTTTCCAAATCCATTTCGAAAGTTTGTGGAGCTACTGACTCTTGGCCTCCAATCGATCCATGCATCTACATATTACAGACCAGATTCCCCGCAACGCGCCAGGAATTGGGGGACCCGCTCTCAGCTGCCGGTCCAGGATACCTGGATACAGGATCCCAGAGCGGGGCCGCTGTGCGATGCGATGTCCCCAGAGTCTATTCTAAAACCCCCTGCAAATCTATAAATCACCCCATCAAAATCGCGCCCTCTGGTTCTTACTGAAAACCCCACCACTCACAGACATATCGTGGTCCAATTCTAGGGGCTTATTGCGCTTTCGGCGAACTAAGCCTCGAAGGGATGTTCTTTCCTCATTTTTCTTTCTTTTTTCTTGACCTACTCAATTATTCTCCCGCATCCGGCCCGACGCCTTGTTTTGCGGATGCTTGTTTGCGCCTCGGATGCATCTTCCATGTGCGCCTGGCTATTGTACATATTCCTGAATCCAGATCATTATTCTGCTTTATCATGAATCCAAGCTGGTGACAAAACGCCCCGCCATTATGGCGACCTCAGGTTTGGACTGATGCACGTGGGAGCGACGCACAGACTACCACTGTCCCGCGCCCAATCGGATGCGCATACTGCACGACCAGTACGACACGTTGTCAATTTCCGCCAAGAAATGCTGACGCGGGTAATATTCCAAACCGTCGCGTGAAATCGCCAATTGATGCAGTTTATCGCGACGGAACCAAGAAACATAATATTATCACTGGAGACGTAGTGTTTTCTTCTGCGGCATAAAGACACATCTTTTTCACTAGGCTTGATGACTCTCGACCTCAAGCTCACGTACGCAAACCCTGAATTTGTCCTCAAACTTCGTAGTCGGCCGAGAAGCCGGTTCCTTCTATATCCGCTAGATGGCGCATGGTGGGCCTTCCGTGAGGGCAGTTCCAGGGCCTGTCCAATGTGGCCAAGTTTTTCACAACTCGCATCATCGTTTGCGTTGATAATGCCAGCCCGATCATTATACTCAGCCGACATGCTCGCAGGGCTATCATTCTGTCCACTTTAGTGCAGCGGCAAGAGAAGAACGTAGATCTGCGCGGTGTGGTCAGACTATCGAATTTCGCCGCCTTTCGGGATTCGCTCCCAGCTCCCTGCTCGTGTAACTTATGAACAAGCTCGTGCAAATCGCTCACATCAAAGACCACATTTTTCAGCACCGGGATCCCCTTCAATCTCACCCTTCGGCCGGGAGCTGCATCTTCTATTTCCTCTATGGAAAACCCGTTTCTTCCAAGATGCTCCGCAAACTCAAGTATTTCCATCTCATCGATCGGAGACAATTCGAGGACCTGAGGCACCACTAATGGCTGTGGTTGAAGCGTCAAATTATTCATCAATCTCTCGTAATTGTAAATTTCATCCAGCGCATGTTGGTCCACAATGAATATTTTGCCCCCGTGACTGACGATAATAAAGCCCGAATTGAACTGTCCAACAATTTCCATTCTCGTGAAGTCGTTTCTGCAAATTTCCATGGCTTCGTTGATATCTTGGACGCGTGCAATGCCGTTTTTACCCCTTTGAATCTCCGCTTCACATGCAACATACGTCTTCGCTTCTTCAATTGTCACTGACAAAAGACTTTGTACTCCTTGAAGCTGGTCCGAATGGCGCCTCTTCCTTCCAGAAGCTGAGTTGTTTATCTCTGAATTGTGTGCTGTCGACCACTCCATGTCACCTATTGTATTCTCTGGATTAGACGTCCTAGTGTCACGAGAGGACTTCTTCGAATTTGCACTGTCATCTCCCGATTGAACACTATCTTTAGTATTCAGATGCACCTGGAGAGTTGTATGATCTGCCTCGACTCCGACTCCTGCATCACGTTTCAGATTCTTGGAGTCGCTTGAGGCCATTTGTGTACTTTGTTCTAAATTTTGGAGGGTTTCTTCTTCCTCTAATACGAATAGCACATCAGGCTCATTGTCTATTTGATTAGGTGCACAAATTGGTTGCGAATCACACTTTTCAGGATCTGCGACAGTGATTAAGGGTGAGGAGTATTTGATGTCGTCGGCATCAAGATCCCCGAAATTGTCGACTTCTTCTGAATTTTCTCCCTCATCATCCTCGACGTCCGAGAGAGTTTCCAGCAATAATGTAGATACAATCGCGTGACTGTTGGGATCGAGTACTTTCTGTCCTTCGTTTCTTTGAGCAATATCTTCGTCAACGGGACATCCATCTTCAGCTTGACGGGCCTCAGTTTTGTCAAACGAAATATGTGTTATCTCGACTTCCGAGTTTGATGGTGAGGATCTGATAGATTCATTGCGCTCCACTGTTTGTTCATCATCATTCTGACTGAGTTGCTTTTCTTCTGCATCCTCAAAATTGACTGAGGCTACATGTGATTGGCCGCATGAGCTGTGAGAAGAACTAAACAGGTCCAAGCTTTTTTGTTGCGTGGAACTATGCTGCGAGCCAATATTCACCACGCCCATCTCACTTTTAGGAACGAAATTGTTTCTTCCCCGAAAGAGCGACACTAACTCTTCCCTAATGACCTCGCTGATCAAGTCTTCACATTGCATCATGACCAGCCTCTTGTCGGGAGTAACGTTCACGTCCAACAATGAGCTGGCTAGCTGAAGATCTATGACGTACACTGGTGACTGGGTTGTATTGAAAGATTTGTAGACCTCATTCACGATCTTTCCCAACTTCTTATGAGTTACTGGTCTCTTGTTAATGCTAAAGTATTGTCGATCAGTGGCAGCTCTGCCCATTCCGAAAGAACAGTCAGAGATCACGCCGGTAAGCTTTATGCTGAGGGCCATGGGAACACACGACATGTTGAGCTTGAAGCGAGCGTCAATATTCTCAGCAGAAATTGCCAAGGGTATGAGTCCATGTGCTCCATTGCTTCCATAAATAGTTGTTAGCACGTCCGAGATCGAAGACTGCCCACCCTGTGTTCCCATGACCATGGTTTTCTTTCCTGTGGAGCCACTGATATTAAAAATGGTGAATCGAATGTTTGTGTACGCTAGCAAATATGCCTGGAGTAAATTTAACGTCTTGGAATATTCTCTTTTAGCATGTTTTACAAAGTTCTTCTGTCTTACAGGCCATCCGTGGAAAAGATCAGAAATGTTGACAGTGGTGCCTTTTTTCCCAGTAACGAGCGATTTTTTAGTCTGAATCTCACCCATAGAGTTGTACTCCAATTGAGTCCCCCGAGGAAATGTCGTAGCAGACGAAGTGACCACTTTGACCTTCGACACAGAACATAATGAGCTCATTGCCTCCCCTCGGAAACCAAGCGTAGTCACAGACGTCAAATCTTCGAAATGTGTTAGCTTTGAAGTATGATGTTTCAAGCAAAGCGTCTCAAAATCTGATACGTCAATCCCACGGCCGTTATCGGAGACTTCAACAGAAGTAGCCCCATGGTTGTTGAAAGTGACCTCAACTTTATTGCACCCAGCATCAATAGCATTGTCGATCAATTCCTTCACCACCGACGCAAGATCAATAATAACTTGTCCGGAAGTTATCTTTGACACGTCACTGGCATTAATTGATGAAATTGACATGGTGATGTGTGGCTTTTTCGTGACAAATAAAGGAAGGAGTTACGCGTATACGAATACTAATACGCGTCATGTATGGAGAACGCGAGACTTGATGAGTCGAGAGAAGCATGACTACGAATTCAAGTGCTTGTCTATACTGGGCACATACTTCCAGAAATACACATTTCTTTTCAAGCGCTTGTAAATTGAAATAAGAGAATTTCTAGAAGCAGTCATTGGATGGTCACACACGTATGTTCGTTGATTTATCTAAGTAATCGCATTATTTCAAGAACGCGCATTGCGTTGCTCACGGATCTTCTGCTATACCATATTCAGCCTACGATTAGACCTCGCTTCAAATGTCATCTTTTTGACTCATGAGACCAACTAAACATAAATTGAAATGGACCCAGTAACTATAGAGGGCGTTCTTTCGCAATTACGGGACTTCTTGGTGCTTTGGATTACGCAGATTTTATACCATAACCGCATATACTCCGAGAATGCCTTTGAAGAGAAAACATATCTTGATCTCATAGTTCACCAAAGTCGTGTCCCAGATCTCAACGTCTTTTTCAAGAACTTTGCCAATGAGATGGTCTCAGTTCTCGTAAAGAAGGCAGGTGGTGGCAAGGTCCACGATGTCATCGTGCTTCTCTATAACGAAACTAACTCGCATGTTACAAGGCGGTATATCATAAACTTTAGCCAGTTTGTAGGGTTGGCTGATCAGGTATCCTCACTTGATTTCTTATCGAAATCCACTGACTCACAGCTGTCTCGTCTCGACTTACCTGAAATGACGTGGGGAAACATATATACGTATTTACGGAGTATGATGTTCTTCCATATAGAAGAGCTCAGACGGACACAGCAAGCGAAGGACAACTGTATATTTTTCAAGCTCCTTCTAAATATGGACGACTCGGCCAATTTATCATCGGAGAATGCGAAGTGGGTTAAGTTGACCTCCGAACAAAGCCGAGCAAAAACGAAGTTCGTTTCCTTAGGAGAAATGTCTGTGGGGTTTCTATGCTTTGACCTTCACAACGAGTACATCCTATGACTTCGCCATCTATTCCACCAGGACGAGTGATACCAGACATCTCATATTAAATACTATTTTGGTAATATAAAATACATCAGTTGAGCTTGTTGTTGAGACCCATGAAGCCCTTTAAGTTCTCGTACATGAAATAACTGATAGACACTGCCGGTGCAACTTTCGCCAAGTTTGGCACCAATCCTTTAAATAACCCTGGAGCTCCCTCACGTTCAATGGTTTGCAATAGCACGTCCTTGAACCCATCATACCTATATGGGTGAGCATAAGTGCCTTGGGCTTGCAATCTGGTACGTAGAAGATTAATCGGGTAGACCACAGTGGCACCGAAGGTTCCAGAAAGTGCACCCATGCTCAAAATAATGTAGTTGGAGAGCTTAACTTCATCCTCAGGAACATTCATCTGTTTAGCTTGTCGTTTTACAAGGAAACCTTTGATGGAACTGAAGGTTCCCAAGTCCAAAGCCGCGTAGGGAAAAATGCCACTGGTTCCAACAAAAATTCCTCTGTAGAATATTCTGAGCCCTCCTTCTTTGTACATGTTCTTGGCTGTCTGGATTAACAAGGCATTACCTCTCACCAGCGAGTCGAGATTGGAACACTGTAAACGGAACTTCAACGTGTCGATGGGGTAGACGGCAAACTGGGATACCACACCACCAATTCCACCGGCCAAATATGTCGACACCCGTGATAACTTGGAAGTATCATCAACACCCTCGATTCTGGACAAAAATCGTTTTGTGGCTTCGAATGAACCAAACTTCATTGCAGATTCGGGAAAAACTTTAATGACATTCAACCCGTTACCCACATAGAAAGCCCTGAAGCCACCTTGCTTCCAAAGTGTACGGGCTGCTTGAATAATTGGAGACCTAATTGTACGTCTGTGAGGAGCCTCCGCAGCGCTTCTGGAACTCTCCAATTCAGCCTGGGCCAATGCTTTTCTGGCCTCTTCAATGACGTGCCTGGAAGCACCAGATGCTACCTCTTTTTCAATTTGCATTTTGGACCGCAAGACTGTTGAGGACAAGTCTGTTCTGGCAATCAAAAATACTTTGATTCTGTCGAAGGGAGCCGTACAAGTACGGGAAACCACACCTGAGAGGCCTCCGGCAAGAAAAAAGCCAAAGCCGCTAAGGAATTGGTTAATCAACGTGACATCACCGTCAGAAGAAAGGTCTAATTCTTCGGCAATAAATGTGAAGGCAGTAGCAATCCGAGACCCGTCCAAACGTGGCATCAACACCAAAAATTCTCGAAACTCGTTATAAGTAATGTAGCCATTATCTTTCGAGTCGATCTGCTGGAAAATGTGGTCAACGATGTGTCTGGACGGGCTCATGTTCAATGTCTGTTTTAGGTAATGGATGAAGTCTGCCTTTGTGAGCTTTCCATCATTATCTTGATCGATTTTATTAAACCCCTTGAGGATCTGGTCATCAGTAGTCTTGAGATAACGCTTGAAGTCATTAAAATCAATAATCTTGTCTTTGTTGTAGTCAAATGACTGAAACACTTTTTCGACTAGGTCGGGATTGGTTGCGATGGGATGATTGAGTGACTTGATCGCCCGTTTGAAATCCTGAAACGTGATTTCGCCGCTATTTTTTATATCTAGCTTGTCAAACAACGTGGAGTAATCGTCTTCTTTTCCCGGCTGGCCAGTCATCATGCAAATGGGGTGGTTGTGAATTTAGAGGAGAAGTGAAAATGCTGGATGCAAGTGATAACTGAACGATCCCAGTCCAAAAATGGGCAGATGAAAAGACAGAGGTTTCGAATATGAAAGCGAGAGTGATGAAAGACAAGAACAATTCTTTGAAGTCAAAATTGATATATGGATCAGTGACGTTGAAGCCTATATTCTGAATTGGGGATCTGCTTGTTTGGGTATGATCATGCGTTTTTTTCTGGCCTGTCTGAGAGTCAGCGAGTTTTTCGAATTCCTATTTGCTTGAGGGCATTTCGTCACGTGCACCCCGGGGCATGCTGCACCCCGGGCATTTGGTCTGCTCGGTGAATGATTCAATGAAACCACATGCCGTATATATTGTGCAACAACACTATCCCGAACGTACATCAGAGGTCAATTATATTCAAAAATTAAATTATTAATGCTGGGAACTTTTGTTTGCGAAGTTTTGCCATATCGCAACCAATTTAGGCCCGGCAAAAACGCGAAGGTAGCACATAAGAAAGGGCAGGTCAAACTAGCATGAAGATGTCCTCTGAGATGTCTCCAAGTAACTCCTTGATATTCAAGATAATCTTGTCAAGCTCTTTGGTGATAGTTGATGTCACCAATATATAGGAGTAAAGCAAAACATAATCTTCATTTTTGAGACTTATGCGATCAAAGTTCTTCCTCGATCTGAATTCACTGAGTTTGAGTAGCATCCGATCTTTCGCATGATCCGTAGAAGCAGGTTTAGTTGGCAATGGAAATCCAAGCGCCATGGCGCTGGCAACCATGTAAAAAATTAAAAAGATCCGATGCTCAAGCTCCTCGCGCTCACTGGAGACATATTTAAGCACTATCTCCTCAGTGGGTTGGAGGTCCTTATCTACTTCCACCATCAATTGTAAGTTCAGAAATGCGTCTAGAATGGCAGAAGTTCCGCGCAAGAGCGTTTCATAAATTTCCTTTGGAAATCGGCCTTTTAGACGAAGTTCAACAGGTGCCTGCTTCAACAAGGTTTGGCATTCCAAAAGAAGGTCTCGTGTGCCCTTAAAGTCTTTGAGACCAATGAGGGTTTTCCCATTCTCCGATTCTTGGTAATCCATTGGATTGCTATTCCATACCACACCCATACGAAGCCACAATATGGTTAACCCAGACTTCAATCGTGCGCGAGCTGGATTTGGGAGGAAGAAATTGGCAAAAATTAGAGCCCATACTATGCCGATTGATACTGCAATAAATCTATGCACTGCAATCTGACCGACGATTGGAACATCGCCCCCTTCATTACTATCTTCGGAGTCTTTCTGTAGCATACTGTATGAATAAAGGGCAGTCAAGTTGTAAGCAAGGAGAATGAAGCGGCCGAAAGCGTTATTTCGCTTCCAAAAAATGATGATGTAGAAGCATGGAAGTGATAGGAGAAAGCCCACAATTGCCAAAACAAATTCGTTGGCATCAGAGACTTGCCATACCAAGTAAGCAAGAAATGCGCCCATGAAAGTTCCAATGAATCTCCATTTAGCTGTGACACTTGTTCCACCAACCGATTTGTTCATCATGATGCAGTAGATTGCCAAAGTCCACTCCAACCTATATTCAACAAAGGCTTTCTGTGTCTGCGGCAAGAAGGCAAAAAGGGAGATACAAAAGGCCCCCACACCGACTCGTAGTCCAAATTGAACATCCGTTCGCTTGAAAAGCCCAAAAGTCTTCCAAAGAGTAAGTCTGAAATCATCCAGACACTCAGTCCACGAAAAGGAATCTAAGTGTTCGGTGCTTTCTTTTGGCTCAACGACCTTAAGCTGAGATTTGAGTTCACGAAGCGCATCAACAAACTGGGCATCCCGAAAGAGGGTTTTTGAATGGGCGATCCCATTTCCTCGAGACCGCCAAAAACGCGCCCATTCCCACGATTTTGGATATGTGCTGGCCACAACTTCGAATTTTTCAGTCAATTGCAAGAAGTGTATTAGCTGTTTCCCATACAAAGCGAGCAAAGAAGAAAAATTTCCACAGCAAGCCGTCACTTCCTCTTGATCAGTCCTGGATTGGAAGTCGTCAGACTTGAAAATTTTTTGAGAGTACAACTTCTCGAAAGAATTCACTTGTTTTTCTTCGTAGAGCTCAATTGCTCGTTTCAAAGATAACTGATAATTTGTTGACTTCACGAATAAGCTTTGTTCTCTATCGCCTAATAGTTTCTTCTCAAAAGGCACTACGCTCAACACTTCTTTCACGGTAAATGCGAAAGACTTGATGGACGGAGCAAGATAGTAAACAAATAAGTCAAAAAGCTGCACTGAATACACGGCGCCGTCCTCCATGTCGCTGTTTTGCAAGCGGCCATTGTACAGGGACGGAGACCCCATGTTCTCGACAGAGTGGGATAAGGGAAGGATTTGCGCGTGAATACTTGACAAGCTTGCGATAGAGTCTTGGTCGTCGTTTTCGGCAGAAGTGCTGTCTAAAAATAACTGCCATCGCATTTCACACGAGGATTTGAGTCCGTGCAAATGCTCCATCAACGAGTTTGTGGCTTCTACGATCTCGCAGTATGCTTCGAACTCGGCCTCCTTTCCCACTAAGTATAACTCATACTTTGCTTCCTCAAGATATAAGTTAAGATCATTCGAGTGTTTTCGAAGTAGAGCAAACACCTCGAGATCTTTAGCAGAAATTTTGTCTCCGTTGATGAACCTATGTGTAACGACAGACACAAGAGATGACATGACGTTGAAAGAATCGTTCAACGAATGCCGCAATAGTTTGACTGCGCTCTTGGGCCAAAGCACGTAGCAAGTTGCCACGGAGATCAAGGACCCGACGAGTGCCACTCGCGATGTCGATACAAGTCTATCCATGGGTATTGTGCTTGCATTGAGTGACCCCTCCTTGACGATACACGTAACGAGGGAAATTGACGCCAACGAACATGCTGTGTTGAAAGTTTCCTTGTTAACTTTTTGCTTCATAAAAGCGATGACACCTAGTCCCACCGACGAGGTAAGGAGGTCGATGGCATACGAAACCTCGTTCTGGCCAACATTGAAGAAGTAACTTGAGACACATCGGCTGCAGACCGAAAGAATGAATGTGAACAAGAGCGATAGAAGCACAAATAGGAACAGTTGGTGCATGGATCCTTTAGTCCGTGCCGGGTGGAAGTAGACAGATGCCGTAGCAGCTACGTGCTTGGAATCGGTGTTTCCTAGTAGCGAGCTGAAAGGAGCGTAATAAACGCCTAGAGATGCAAGGAGATACGCCACCCCGCATTTGAGAACGCTTCGGGACGACTCCTTCAATAGCCATACATAGATGTTATATGGAAGGGATCTCGATAGAGCTTGTACTCTTCTATGCCAAGGCACAGCAATTACCACACTGGGGGCGGAATCCAGTAGCTCAGAATCATTAATCGTCTCGTCGTGAAAGCTCTCGAATTCCGAATTAAAAAACAGGTCTGTGCGGTACACCTTTCGACCAGAATCGGGGAGAATCACAGAGCTCAGTTTGACCAACTGGCGTTTGGTCGGTTTTGGAGGCGGTGGGCTTAGTAGGTACAGTGTTTCAGAGAGATTGGCTATGCTTTCAGCGAGACTGCTTGTTTTCAGGACAGCACGGCCCTGGCTCTTCGATGCCGGGTGCCTCTTTTTGTCACTTGTCATCAAGAATTAGATGATTGGCAAGATTTCCAGAAACAGGCCGGCACTTCTAATGTGCCCCATCCACTCGCGTGCGGCTTTATACAAGGGAACGTCATGTGACAAGATCTCATGCTACTCTCTAAGGACTGCAGATGCGCATCTGGCACGAGCCACCTCAAGTATACAGTTTGTTCATGGAAAACGCTTTCATTTGATCATTATCTTCGTTTTGTGGGCGCTTTGATATGCAAAGCGTCCGGCTCATTAAATACATTGAATGCTGCGCACTTCGTTGCCGCACGCATCATTAGACACACGAGATCGAGCCTGAAAGGTGCCATTTGGCTTTATTAGGAGGCATTGTCTGGGTGTCATGTCATCATTAGGGTTCATATGGGGCTTGCTCATTCCTCCTTTACGTCGTCGCCGTAGCCAACAATGTCCTTGAACATTTGGGCGCATGGCACGGACGCGTCAAGTTTGGAGCACAACAAGAAAACTCCACTAAGCTTCCTGTGGAGAGAGTAGGTTTCCTCCGGTGGAGGGGACAATCTTTCATTCAACATCAAACCAATGTTGTCTCTGACCCGATCGGTGATTGTTTGCTTTTTGAAATTGAACAATCTGCCTTCTTCCCTAGGAACAAAGGCCTCGCCAAGCACCATTACCGAGTCAACGTGGGCTCTGACCATGGCCGGGGACTCAAGACCAGTCAAATATCCAAGCTTCACAGAGTACTTCTCCACTGACTTTCTGTCGCCTTTCACGGCAGCTCGCAAGACTTCAACGTAGTCATCCACGAACTCGTCCTTGTATTCCCGAGCAGCACCGAAGTCGAGAAGCTCGATCTTCTTGGTGTCGTTGTTGTACAAGAAGTTGGCCCAGTTTGGATCTGTCTGCATGAACTTGAATTGCTTGAGTTCCTTCAAGCATAAGCGCATTATGTTAGTGGCGATCCAGTTTTTCGTTTCCTGGTCCCAGTCGCCCTTGACAATCTCTTTGCCTTTCATTTTCTCCATTGTCAAGACGTGCTCACCACACATGTTGTGAATCACACGAGGAACCTCAAAGTTGGGGTCGTCCTTCAACAACTCTCTGAATCTGATCAAGTTCTGCGCCTCGCGGATGTAATCGCATTCCCACTTCAACTCCACTCGGGCGTTGGCAATGGATTTGTCTAGAAACAAGCCTGGCGGCAAGATGGACAGCGCAGTCAAAATCATGAGCATGTTGTTCAAGTCAGAGTCGATGGAGTCAGCCACACCGGGATATTGCACTTTCACAACAACTTGGGTCAAGTCTTCGGTGACTGCATCGTGGACTTGGCCAATGGAGGCGGCAGCAAAGGGCACGTCTTGGAAAGAAGTGAAGAATCTCTTCCTCCACTGCAGGCCGAGTTCTTTGGACATCACGCGCTCGAGTTGGGCGGGGGGCATGTAGTGGGCCAGGTTTTGCACTCTGAGCAAAATTTGCTGGATCTCAACAGGAAGAATGGACGAGTCCTGGAGAGACAACATCTGGCCGATCTTCAACGCGGCTCCGCGCATCTGCGAGAACTTCTTCGCCATTCTCTCGATGTTGGCGGGGCTCAAGAAAAGCGACTTCATGGTCAAGGAGTCCTTGTTGCCCAGGGCATAGTGCTTGATGCCATGCGACGCGGCACTCAACCCCATGCCCGCAGCCAAGGTTCCGTAGTGGAAGATTCGGGCCAACCTCGTGGCAGGAACCTCGCTCTGCGACATTTCGAAAGTCGGCTTCACCTTCGAGCCCACCACCTTTGGCTTCAGCTTGGCAGCCTTCTTTCTCCGGACCTGGTTGTCGAGGTAAATGGTGGACTTTGTGGAGTAGTGTCTCTTTTGGGGGGCGGCGAACGCCGATGGAGACGCCAGCTGAGGTGGTGGTTTCGGCGACCCTGTTCTGGCAAGTTCGGATGTCTTGCGTAAATGTTGCCACATATTTCCGTGTGAGTCCAAGCGATCCACGGCTTGTGCTTTGACAAATGACAGCTGGTACCATGCAAGAAGATCTTGCTTCACCACGGAGGTGGAGGAGCCTATGACCTTACTTGCGGACGACAAAATGAGCGCCGTCTCGAACAAGGATTTTCTGACGGACATCCCAGGTTTCTGTTGTAGCAAAGAAAATGGGATCTGGGAAGAGCAAGGGGGTTTGGGAGCAAATTTTGAGAGGAACTCTGATGGCGGAACAAAATGCGATGCGAGGGTACACAGCCAGCCGGCGATAAAAATTCGCAGGCAAAAAAAAAAAAATCGGTTCGCGCGATTGGGTTTAAGGCGGGCCTACCTGGAACACGAACCTATTTCAGGAACAAGTCAGCAGGAATATAGGGTACACGGAAACCGCCATTTTTGCCCAGCAAACAGCAGAAAAAAACAATAGGACATTGCCACCGCCACCATAGAGGTGGCAGCGCCATCAACACGCATGTGGGCCCCGCCGGGCGGGGAACTGCCACGGCCCAAAAAACGCAATACAGCAACTGCTCAAAAGAAGAAACAGCAAGAGGCCAAAGCTCGCAACCATGGGCCCGCGATTCTGGCGGCTGCGGTGCGGCGCCCTATAGTTTGTTGCGGACGCGCATGGTGGGGTATCAGGACAGGCCCCAGGAACTCCGGCCATCCAGTAGCAGGGCGCGCTCCCCGCCTCTTCGCGGCCCGGTGCTCCGTTGCCCCAGCCGGGGGGCCGGGCCTATTGGACGTGGCCCGACGCGCAGGGCCACATGGGCTCTAATTATGGACCCACGGGTGGACCACCAGACAAGCGGAAAATAACAATCACATTAAGAAAAAACAAAGAATGGGCCACTTCAGGAAATAAAAATTGGACCGTTGCGAGGCGGAGATTATGGCCATTTGCTGAACAAGGAAACAGGAAAACGCCCCCCTGCTGGAGAAAGAAAACGAGAATAGAAGAGGACTCACAGATGGGCGGACAGTGAAGAACGAGCGGAGTGGAATCTAAGTCACCATCACCAATGCAGCAGATCGCGCAGTTCCATTCAGTGCGGCCCCATGGAACTTATGACTCAGGCTTGCTCACTCTGGGCAGGCCCGTGCATGGCGTGGATGCGAAGGCGAGCTTAATAAAGGCTTCGCATGACAATTAAACCTGGGAATAAAATATCCTCCACGACAGGAATGCCGGGTCTCGGGATTGAGCGATAACCGCGTCATCACAAGGCCCGGCTCTTTTGTTTTATTTTTTTTATTTTTTTTTGCGTTGGGACAGTTTCCTGGGGCATTACAGTCCTGCTGTCCATTGCTTGGTCCATTGCCAATCCTCAGGATTAAAAAATAAGGAACAAGCCGTTGGCGCATATTCTCAAAACTGGGGCAGCAGGTCTGTATTTTGCAAATTGAAAGCTAATTGTGTCAAAGTATGGTGGAGCGTCTGGGCTTTATTGTTGGCGCAAGGGGACGGCGAACCCACTCCAAATATATGGACACCAGTCTACTTAAAAAAACACACAGGTTGTTTTAGTGCGCAACTCCATCGGGCGATATGAGCTGTCACACCCACAACGTATCGGCAGTCAGAGATACGCCAGAGCACAGGTGAGCACAGCGAGGCGGATTTGGCTACTCTGTGCGCAGCGTCATACCAGCGTGCAAGAAAAGGACAAATAAAAGCAGGCTTGTATTTTCTTTGCTTTCTCTTTCCCACCCAGCCAGTCAACTCAGGATATAATGGCATTGCCAAGTTTGCTCCAGTACTAAACAACCATATACCTCACGTCCAGTCTCGTCGCGCAGCCCAGTCTCGCAGCGTAGCCCAGTCTCTCCACAGGACATTACATGCAGACCTGGGTCGGCTCTGCGATGAGCTCATCTTCTCGCATCACAACCAAACCTACGCCTACTCGAAACACATCAAAATGGGCAAGGAAGACAAGAAAAAAATCAAGAAGCAAAAACTCCTGGTATCTGTTGCCGAGTCGGTGGCCGAAAAGGCCGAGGAATCCTATAATCAACATCACCTAAACGACACTCCCGAGACCTTGCATACTCACAACAACGGTGAATTTGCTGGGCTCACCAGGTATCAAACCACGGCTGAAGATGCCCAAAGATTGGAGAGCGGCAAGTTCAATCCGTTCACCGGCAAGAAATTCACCCAAAAATACATCGACATCTTGAAAGTCCGCAGAGACTTGCCTGTTCACGCGCAAAGAAACGAGTTTTTGCGGATCTTCCAGCTGACGCAAATCATGGTGTTTGTTGGTGAGACAGGTTCCGGTAAAACCACGCAAATCCCCCAGTTCGTGCTATATGATGACATGCCCCATTTGAGTGGGAAGCAGGTCGCCTGTACACAGCCCAGAAGAGTGGCGGCCATGTCGGTGGCGAAGAGAGTGGCCGACGAAATGGACGTTGAGTTGGGCGAGGAGGTCGGTTACGCTGTGCGTTTTGAGCACAAAAACTCCGACAAGACTATTCTCAAATACATGACCGACGGAATGTTGTTGCGGGAGGCCATGGACGACCATGACTTATCCAGGTACTCGTGCATCATCTTGGACGAGGCGCACGAGAGAACCCTTTCGACCGATATCCTTATGGGCTTGCTCAAACAGGTCACCTTGAGAAGACCGGACTTGAAAATCATCATCATGTCGGCCACCTTGGATGCCGAAAAGTTCCAGAACTACTTCAACGACGCCCCTTTGCTTGCTGTTCCCGGTAGAACCCACCCGGTTGAAATCTACTACACTCCAGAATACCAAAAGGACTACTTGGACGCGGCCATCAGAACTGTGTTGCAAATCCATGCCACCGAGGATGAAGGAGACGTGCTCTTGTTTCTCACGGGTGAAGAGGAAATCGAGGAAGCGTGTCGCAAGATTCTGTTGGAGGGCGACGAGTTGATCAGGGAGCAGGATTGTGGTCCAATCAAAGTGTACCCCTTGTACGGATCTTTGCCACCACACCAGCAACAGAAGATATTCGACCCCGCACCCGAAAACCACAAGGCCGGTGGCAGACCAGGCAGAAAGATCATTGTCTCCACCAATATTGCCGAGACATCGTTGACCATCGACGGTGTCGTGTATGTGGTGGACCCAGGCTTCTCGAAGCAAAAAGTATACAACCCCAGAATCAGAGTCGAGTCGTTGTTGGTGTCGCCAATTTCAAAGGCCTCCGCACAACAGAGAGCTGGTAGAGCTGGACGTACGCGTCCAGGTAAGTGCTTCCGTCTTTACACCGAAGAGGCCTTCAAAAAGGAGTTGATCGAGCAGTCGTACCCCGAGATTTTGAGAAGCAACTTGGCCTCGACCGTCCTTGAGCTCAAAAAACTTGGCATCGACGACTTGGTGCACTTCGACTTCATGGACCCTCCGGCCCCCGAAACTATGATGAGAGCTCTTGAGGAGTTGAACTACTTGCAGTGTCTTAGTGATGAAGGAGACTTGACTGCTTTGGGCCGTCTTGCGTCCTTATTCCCATTGGACCCCATGTTGGCCGTCATGTTGATCGGATCGCCTGCGTTCAAATGCTCGGAGGAGATTTTGTCTATCGTTGCCCTATTGTCTGTGCCCAACGTCTTCGTGAGGCCTGCGTCGGCCAGGAAGAGAGCCGATGAAATCAAAATGAGCTTTGCCCACCCAGACGGCGACCACTTGACGTTGCTCAATGTCTACGAGGCCTTCAACTCGGACGATGCCTACAACGTTGGTTTGCATCAATGGTGCAGAGACAATTTCTTATCCTACCGCTCGCTCCTTTCCGCACAGAGCGTGCGTTCTCAGTTGCGCCGCATCATGGAGCGCCATGAGCTAGAGTTGGTAAGTACAGACTACAACAGCCCTAAGTACTGGGACAACATCAGAAAGGCATTGGCAGCAGGATTCTTCATGCAGGTGGCCAAGAAGAAGAGCGGAAACAAGGGTTTCTTGACGGTCAAGGACAACCAAGACGTCTTGATCCACCCGCTGACTGTGTTGTCCAAGGAAAGTGAGTGGGTCATCTACAACGAATTTGTGTTGACGTCCAAGAACTACATTCGGACAGTGACCACTGTCAGGCCCGAGTGGTTGGTGGAGTTGGCGCCAAAATACTACAACTTGGAGCATTTCTCCAAGGGTGACGTCAAGCTTTCTTTGGAGAGAATCATTTCGAGAGTGGACACGATGAAGAAAGTTGCCAAGTAGGTATTCGCGGGCCTTAAGTAATGCTGTGAATTCAGAACGGTCATAAGAACCGGCGGCTTATATACCAAAAGATAGAAAATAGTTTCACAAAGACAAGCATTTCTTGTGCCGCTGAAGAGGGCAGTATATCTGATGATTTGGTGTTGAGGCGGTTCAATCAAACATTCACGCTTATGTCAGACATGGGCTGGCTGGTCCGGCGCTGCTTCAAACCTGCGTCGAAGACATGCGCATGATTTGCCAGAAGCAGCGACTGCCGGAGGAAGAAAAATTCTCATACCCAGTCAGATCCCCTATTCACTATGTACAGAAACTCATTTGTTAACACAGTCTCTTCTAGCTCATTGAATTCAAAAATCATTTATCGATGCGGAGCCTCATCAGTTTTTTCCACCGACTCCAGGTCAGAACATAGGCTATGGGCTGCTGGCTTGAGGCATGAGTATACAGGCCCCAGTCACACGTAGACAAGCTTAAGCCTTGAGTACGCGGGCTTTTCACACAAGTGCAACCGGGAAAGGCAAAAACGCATGTCCTTCTCGTATAACCTTATTTCCGTTTTGGGAGTGTTACGCTTCTTTCGGAGCCCAGCCCGTCCCGGTATCAGTGCGAGTGGCCTTCCTTCCAGCGAATTGCATATACGGTCTCAGTCCTGCTTCTTTGATACGAAGCTGATACGAGGCGAAGCGCACATATCGAAGAACATACAACCCGTCCAGACACGTATGCGTGCAAACAGCCCTTAGGATATTTGCGTAGAGAACCGTCTGCGCTGCAGAAACCAAGCAGCTGTGCCTTTAACGTAGATTTGCATCTGCAAGACAATTTGTCCTCTCGAATCGAAAAAAGCTCCCCAGACAATAGCACGAATCACCGCATTCGGACGCTCGCTTAGCCTCGCGCGTCCGCGGTTAAAGTAACCCGCCGCGAAAGGTCTTGCACACCTGTCGCTGCCCATTTGGGCTCGCTGTTCACACGCTCCAACAACCCACCAGAGTACTGAAACCAGGTCAAAATGGGTGTCTTGGTGGTATGTTCAGCGTCACAACAAAGCGCGTGTCTGGGCAAAGATGCTGCCGGCTTTCAAAACTGTGCCTGCGCCCTTGTACTAACAATTAGTCCCGTTTGTTCAAAAACCGTGAGATGAGAATCTTGATGTTGGGGCTCGATAACGCCGGCAAGACCACCATTCTCTACAAGATGAAGCTCGGCAAAACATCCAAAACCGTGCCCACGGTCGGCTTCAACGTGGAAACCGTCAAGCACAGAAACATATCCTTCGCCGTGTGGGACTGTGGTGGGCAGGAGAGAATCAGGCCGTTGTGGCGACACTACTTCACGGGCACAAACGCGCTTATTTACGTGGTGGACTCGTCGGACTTGGACCGCTTGGACGAGTCGCGCGACGAGTTGATGCGTGTGATCTCCGACAAGGAGTTGGCCAGCTGCTTGTTGATAGTCTTGGCCAACAAACAGGACGTGCCCGGGGCCATCAAGCCCAAGGACTTGATTGAGCGGTTCGACATGAGCAGCCTCAGCGGCCAGCACACGTGGTCGGTGATCCCCACCATCGCCGTCGACGGCACCGGGCTCGGCGAGACGTTGAACTGGATCTCCAGCCACTCCAAGTGATCAGGGAGCAGTGCTGCCGGGCGGGCGGCGGGCATGCTCGTACTGGATGCGAGCCATGGCGCGCGCGCCTGTGGCGGCGATGGCCCCGGACTATGCCACTCATTTATGTATTGTTAGTCGTCAAGCAATGTCTGCTCAGGTCCGTATAAAACAGTTTCTACCAGCGGGCGCCGCCTAGACACGCGCGCATCTACGCCAGCCACATGGACACGGCGCCGTCCTGCTCGCCAAAGTAGGCCTTGCGGGCCAAGTTCGTGAAGAGGCCACTGTCCACCACACCGCACAAGCTCTTGATCTTGGCGTGCAAGCCGCGGGGGTCCGCGATCGGGCCGAAGTCCGCGTCGATCAAGAAGTTGTTGTTGTCCGTGATCACGGGCCCGGCCTTGGCCTTGCCGCCCTGGCGCAAGTCGACGTTCCGGGCGCCCAATCTCTTCAAGTCGAGCGTGACCTTGGCGTAGGCGTTGGGCACGATTTCGATGGGCACGCCCTGCGTCCACTCCGTGCCCAAGGCACGCGACTTTTTCCGGTAGTCGGCCACGATGATGAATGTCGCGGCGGCCTCGGCCACCAACTTCTCCTGGAGGAGACACGCGCCGCCGCCCTTGATCAAGTTGAGTTTGTCGTCGCACTCGTCCGCCCCGTCGAACGCAATGTCGAGCGAGGGGTACTGCTCGATGGTGCCCACGTGGAGCCCGTGGTCGAGAATCAACTGCTTCAGCTGGAAGCCGGTGGGGATGCACACAAAACTGTCCTTGTTGGCGAGCTGGCTCAACCGCTCGGCCACATACACCACGGTGCTGCCGGAGCCGATGCCAACTACCTTGGCGTTGTCCGGGAGGTTCTCGTCGACGGCCCGGTAGGCGGCTCTCATTTTGGCGGATTCGATGGTGGACGACATTGGTGGGGTGAGCGAGGTGAACGGCCGGGTGAGGGCGGAAAAGCGTGGGGGTCTGGTGAACCTGAGCATTCTGTGGGGCAGGCGCCGGTAGGGCTGGAGCAGGTCAGTAGGGCCGCGGCGCCCGGCGCCGTGTGCAGGAGCGCGTGCTCGGGCCTGTGCTGGCCCGTGGCGCTGGGCTGGGGCCTGGTGTTTCGTTTGTTAGCCCGGCAGAGACGGGCCGGGCTTTTTTGGCTTGCGTCTCTTCGGGCGGGTGGTGCCTGGGATGCCGGGCTGTGGTTTTGGCGGGCCGTGGCGTGGCGGGAGGTGTTTTGTATTTTTTATTGGGGGGTGCTTGTTGTCATCAATTGTAAGAGATTGCGGGCTGTCTTATTAATGCGCAGACTGCTGGGCCTCGTGGGCACTGCACTCCAGGGGGGCACTGTGTGAACAGACAATAAGAGTAAATGGGCACTGAACTAAACGGGCACTCCAAGTAAATGGGCACTATAAGTAATACTACAAGTAATACTACAAGTAATACTACAAGTAAATAAGGGCTACAAGTAAATAAGTACAACAAGTAAATAGGTGCTACAAGTCAATGGGCACTCCAATAAACTGGGCACTCCAATTAAATGGGCACTCCAATCAAATGAGCACACAATAAAATGGTATCCACACCACAGACGCAAAACGTAGACTACTGGAAGCAACAGCCGCAAGGATAATCAAAACACAAGAAAGAGGGCAAAGATAACACACCCACCCAGGGCCCCAGAGGCCTGCTCCAGGGCTCCATGCGCGAAACTGCACTATGCGGGTATTCCAGATGGTTTCAAACTGGTCCGAATTGTGCAGCGAGACCAGGCTGGGCGTCGGCAATGGGAGCCCAGAATCGGCCGGGGACAATCCTAAGACATGGTCCGTTTTTGTTTTCCCGTGGGTTTTCCCAAAAACAGCCTACATAAACTGCGCCGCGAAGTATTACCCTGTTGCCAGGCCTGTGTGCCCGGTATCCTTGGCCGGACACCCGTACCATGTGCCATGGGACAGGCTATAGCAGAGAAACAAACCGCGGCCCAGGTAATTCTAATACAAAACGCCTACAGAAACACGTGTTCGGTTCGAGTTCGGCCCCTCCTAGGCCGCGCCTCGATGGGTGCAAATCACCAACATGACGCGAGCAAAAATCCAGAAGTCGATATCCGAAAGCACTTTGTAAAGCCAAATTGGAAATATCCACTGTGCACGTAGCCGCAGAAATTCTACCGCCCCAATGTCGGACTTGGGGCCGCTCGGCGCCTACGGGCCCGTCGTATATTGACTTGCTGGTAATACACCCATGGGCCGCCACCCGGTCACGTTTTCGGCCCCGGCCTCCCATCTTGAAAGCAGATATTTTCGACATGCCATGGACGCCATGAATCTTGCCAGCTAACTCCTCCAGTCATAATTTCAGAGAGTCCCCGGCGGTGCTTTCCGAGCCAAACGAAATCAAGCCAGCCGGGCAAACAGCAGTCACGCGTGGTCACGTGCACGCGGGGCCCGCCGGCCGGACCGCCTTAACTATGCGCGCAGCCTCCGCAGCGGCCTCCCGCGCACCAGCCCGGCATTCGCAGGCAAATGGCCTGGGCGAAAAAAAAAAACATCGTGGTGAGCACAGTGTGCAGGCACAGCGATTTTTTTGCACTCGCACCTTATGGAAAAAAAACCTGGCTAAAAATTTTCCTCTTGATCCCACCACCGACAAACTGTTAACCATGTCTGCTGCCAACAAGATCTTGTCTGAGAACCCAACCGAATTGGAGTTGCAAGTTGCCCAAGCTTTCACCGACTTGGAGGCCCAAACCGACTTGAAGGCCGAGTTGAGACCATTGCAATTCAAGTCCATCAAGGAGTTCGACGTTGCTGGTGGTAAGAAGGCCTTGGCCATCTTTGTCCCTGTCCCATCTGTCGCCGGTTACAGAAAGGTCCAGACCAGATTGACCAGAGAGTTGGAGAAGAAGTTCCCAGACAGACACGTCGTCTTCTTGGCCGAGAGAAAGATCTTGCCTAAGCCAGCCAGAAAGTCTAAGAAGCTCCAAAAGAGACCTAGATCCAGAACCTTGTCTGCTGTCCACGACAAGATCTTGGAGGACTTGGTCTTCCCAACCGAGATTGTCGGCAAGAGAGTCAGATACTTGGTTGGCGGTGCCAAGATCCAAAAGGTTTTGTTGGACTCCAAGGACTCCTCTGCCGTCGACTACAAGTTGGACTCTTTCTCCCAGTTGTACAACAAGATGACCGGCAAGCAGGTTGTTTTCGAGATCCCAGGCGAGTACTAAGCATCTCGTTCCCCTCATCTCCATCAACTTTCCCCCGGTTTACAAAACTCCCCTGTGTTTTTAGTGTAGTGGGGCCGTGGTTCTAGGGCTGCTCCTCCCGTCATGCTTTTAGCGAATCTTTTGACAAATACTTAATACTTGGTATTTATCTTATAAATAACTCATGATCATTCACCGTGTAGAACTGCTTCTTGCCTGTGCCGCGTTCCCACGCCACGGTTCGTGTTTTGACGTGGTCTTCGTGCGATTCTATAGCTTCTATTCACCTCGCTTCTATGTACTCTCAAACGTGCTTCACATACGCCGTGGGGAACAACCCGGTCTGTCCGTTGATCTCTCCCTCGGTCCAGCCGCTTTCGTCCGTGTCCGCCTGTATCAACACGATCCTGTCGCCGGCTTGGAAACTCAACTCATTGCTCTCGTCGCCATTGAAGTCGTAGAGTGCCTCCACGTATTGCACGCGTTTCGCGCCGCGTTTGGGTGCAACCGAGGGCCCAGTCTTCTTTGCATTGTCCTCGACATAGTTGATTTGTAGGTAACTCGTGGGCACAAGTCCGCTCTGCCCTGCAGAACTTTTGACCAAAGTCCAGCCCAGGCCATCGTCCTCTTCAACTATGGCAAGCTCCTCGCCCTGGCTAACTGTCAATTCGTCGTCTCCGGTAGCCTCGTAGGCGTACGAGGCGATTGCAGGGGAGTTGCTCAGCGCAGCTTGGGAGTTGACACTTTTGTTTCGTCTCAAGCTAAACAACCCACCCAACTTCGTGGCCAATTTGTTCGGGGGCAGATGAAGTCTTGTGGCTTTTGAAAATGCCAAACCGGGACCTCTTTTCCTTTTTGACTTCCACGTACGAGAGATCCTGATCGCCAGCAAAGTTTTGAATGATCTCGATTTCAACCTCGCTTTTGACTCTTCCGGAATCTTCTTTCATGAACTTCTGGAGGAGCGTCAACGCGTCATCTAGCTTTGAATCAAACTTGAGGGTGTGCGTATCCTCGCTTGACTTTCTCTGCTGTGCCACTTCTTCCAATTTGTCTTTCGCCAAAAGTGTAGAGTCCTTGGACACAGAGTATGCATTCAAACTAGCATTGAGCCTGCGCTTCAACTCTGTGAGCTCCGGCTCTTTCACTACAAGTGACTCGTTATCGTGCCAAAAATCACAAGGGATGAAGTAAAAGTCCTGGGGCTCTTTCCATGCAACTGCGTTGTGTTTGATAAACATAGCTGTGTCTAACTTCGGGTTGTTTTCTTCAATTGTCACGTCAATTTCATGTAAAAGCTCCTTTACCTTATCGTTCGAGTTCCGTTCGATAATCGACGCATTCTTCAAAAGCTTGTTCATGATTCCTACCCTAGACTCGTTCAAATCTTGGAAGTAGTCAAGCAATTCAGGTAAGTCCTGGAAGTAGTACTTGTCCTTCAACCTATTGGCGATACTCAATTTGATCAAGTAGTTGTTCTTTCCGTTGTTCATCTCGATTTTCTTCTCTTCGAGTTTTGCTAAGGCTCGTTCGCTCGAAGACTTTTCAGTTTTTTGCCGGGCGTGTTCCGTGTTTTGACACAAACTGTCGTAGTGTTTCTTCGCCTTGGATACCTCATCTTCCAAAGACGTCTTTTCGGAAGTGAGGAAATCATTTATTACGCTGACATGCCGGGCAATCTTGTTCAGTTTTTGTTGCAATCTGTTGAGGTTGCTGCATATTTTCACTTGGAACTCCGTTCCGAGGTTGTCACGTTCACGAGCAATTGCTTCTGTCTGTGACAAGACTTCGTTCCACAAAACTACAGAGGCGCTTTCAAGTGATCCTGGTGTAATTTGTGGGTCATCCCCTACAGAGAGACCAGATGAGTTCTTGGCTTTTTTCTCGAAATGCTTCTTACATAACTCTTGGAGTTTTGCCGAGTACTCTTTCTCCAATAGGGCACGCTCTTTGTAGAAGCCCTCTAAATCGTCGAGCCAATTAATGCCATTCGTGATCCATTTTTCTGTGCTCTTGTATGAATCTTTGAGCTCGTTACCAATCGAAAGTTCCTCCAACGACATTTCGGGCGAGCCTACAAAATGCAATATATATTCAATCCCTCCACGTAAGTCTAGGCCTATGTTGATCCTATCGTATAATCTGCATCAGCGTTGAACAGAGCGTCACACTAGATGTGCGCGGGGCGGTGCGGGGTCTATCCACAGGATTGCGACCAATTGATGGCAAAGCTTCGTTCACAGTTTCACCCCAAAACCCGTCACACAACTTTTTTGGTGATAGTAGGATGTGGATAACATAAATGTTAGAGGAATATTTTTGGAGTTCAGTTTCTCTTTTCGTTCAAAATACGGACTCATAACTTCGTAAAATACAGGATGTGAAATACAAGCGAGCGAGTGGGATATAAAAGACCGCATTGATAACTAAACACTTCGCAAGGAAAACTTTGTCAGCATCAACGTGTTTATATGGACATTTGGGAACCATTGATAGGGCTATTACGGCTATATTATCTTCAGAAAGAAAGAGCTGAGGCATTTGCAAACATTCTCTCTTGGAGATATGTATGCGTGCTACAGGAGCAGTGAATCTTGCCGGTCCTCTTTTTAGAACCAAAACTTTCTAACCACAGAGTGTTTTTTTATCTTTTGAGCAAAACCTTCCCCAGTTGATATCACGTACACTTCCAGACATTTCTTTTGTTTGAATTTTTGAACGTTGGACAATCAGTTTTATTTCATGAGATCAGCTCCCCAGTCCGGATACCCGCAGAAAAGCTGACATACCTGCCTCGGTGAAGAAAAAAATCTGCAGACTTTCAGAAGTATCACCAAAAACATACACTTTACCATGAAATTCCAAGTCTTCATTCCCTTTCTTTCCATTTCTTAAACAGACAAAAGCAAACAGGATTTGACAAGTGAAGCTACCATTGTTTTCAACGGCCCGTAAGCACCAAGGGAAAAAATCAAAGGTGGGGCGAACAGATTTAAATATTTGCAAGATCCCGCATTCGCAGGAACCTCTCTAATGTTTGAATTTACAAAAAAGAAATAAAGCGCCAGGCGATGTCTTTCAATGAATTTTACTAGCATGTACGAATTATGCCGCAAAAGGATGATAGACTTGGATAAGAAGAAGTTGCAAGCCGTGCTTGGTCTATGAACCTCGCAAAATCTGAGGCCCTGCTCGCGCAATGATCAGGTAGAAGAGTTTTCATTCCCGGTCTATATTCATTGGGCGAAGCATCACCAAAAACACGAAGCAGAATAGTGTATCTGCTTGATTGTGTCATCCTTGTTTATTTGATTTTTTAGTTGCCGAGGTAACAAAGAGGAAGCATGACACTAGTGGACATCTCTCTGTTGGGAAAGACAAACTATAGCCTACTTGGCCTGCAGAGAACCCCAAATCCGAAAGCATAATGTAATCTTTATAAATGACGTCTCTGCTCCGTGGAAAGCCCGGGAATGTGTCCGATGTGCATGCGAGGAGACAACAGGATATCTTGAGAAGCGAAACCAGCTAATATCGATGCAAAATGAGTGAAAAATTCCAGGACCACCCAGTGTGTTTTTTTTTTTTTTAATTGTTTAAGCATACGCTAGTGCCGTCCGCGCTCGACTAAGAGAACTTGCAGGTTTGAGTTTGACTTGCTCGCCTGGTCGCATGAGGCTCACGGCAAGCAAAAAAACTTATTTAGGTACCAAGGTTATGAGCATGCGGCCGAGAATAATATGGTAGAATTCTGTCTCTAGGAACGATCATTTGGAAATGTACTGGTGAAATGTTGGACTAATCTGGTGGGTATTGAATCGGGGCTTTATCTCAAGTCGTGGATCAAAACTAAACAAAGTATCTTTGTGACAAGTTCGGCCCAAGTAGGATCGCTGAATGTGCTTAAACTGGGTCATGGACTACTAGATCCTCGGCAACGTAGGGATTCCGCGGCTCGCGCGCAGTCGTGCATCGGTCTTTTGCATCCATTGCTATTGTTGCTCCGGAAAAACTAGCAAGCCATCACGATCAAGTGGATAGAAATTCTATAAGTGCAGAGAAAAGCGCCAGGCACAGGCACAGGCCTGGCTCGGCTTTTCCGGAATTCGAGCTTGTTTTAGATTAATTTAAAACACCCTTATATTCTCTCGATCTGAACTCTTCTTATCTCTTCTGATAGTTCGCTTGCTATGCTTCATCAAATAGTGAGGGACTCGTTCTGGGGCTCGGTCATCTACTTGCTCTCAAACCGAAGGCTCTTCAAGTACCGAGAAGAAGACTTTTCTTTCGCCAAGCTAGAAAGCTTCAAGCACAAAGTCAATGTCGAAGGCCAGGAACTTCCAGAGCCAGGCTTGGACAGAAACTTTTTGGGAGACGTGCTGCATTTCCCGGACCTCACTTCTAACTCCGAAGAAAAAACTCTCACGGAAGATGGCCCCATATTAATTTCCTGGGACGGCGATAATGACCCGGATAATCCCCGCAACTGGCCCTTCTACTACAAGGTGATCTTTGTGCTCAAAATCATATCGATGACGGCGATGATCTACATGTCTGCGGCTCTCTACACGCCTAGCATCACCACAGTGATGCAAGAGATGCAGATCAGCAGACCCAAGGCAGTTTTGCCATTGACGGTGTTTGCCATTGGGTACGGAATTGGCCCTTTGGTGTTTTCTCCCTTGTCAGAAAACGCCCGTTTCGGTAGAAACACCATCTACATTGTTACGTTGTTCATCTTTTTCATTTTGCAAATCCCGACTGCGTTGGCTACCGACATCACATCTTTGGCTATCTTGAGGTTTCTTGCTGGCTTCTTCGCAAGCCCGGTGTTGGCTACCGGAGGTGCCAGTATTGGGGACGTGATCTTGAGCGAGTATATGCCCATGGCTCTTTCATTTTGGACAGCAGGCACATTCTGCGCCCCATCCTTGGGGCCACTCATCGGTGCAGCTCTCACCGTAAGGGGCGGGTATCACTGGCCCTTTTGGTTCATCTGCATATACTCGGGGATTTTTTTCTTGGTGTTGAGTTTCTTCTTGCCCGAGTCTTCTGGGAAGGCGATCTTGTACCGAAAGGCCAAGAGATTGAGGGCAATCACAGGAAACAAGAACATCACAAGCATTGGGCACATCCAGAACAAGGAACTCAATTTGAAAGATGTGGTGATGGAGGCGCTCTGGAGGCCGTTCCAGATCACCTTCCAGGAACCTGTGGTGATGTTTCTCAACATCTACATGGGGGTCATCTATGCCATCATGTACCTCTGGTACATGGCGTTCCCCATTGTGTTCATCCAGATGTACCAGTTTTCGACCGTGGCCGAAGGAGCTAGTGCACTTTCGCTCACAGTGGGCCTTCTTGTCAGCGTGTCGTTCCATCTCCCCATAGTGTACCAGCGGACCACGCGGAAATTGATCGTAGGCAAGACGATCCATCCCGAGGTGTATCTACCCATGTGCATTTTCGGCAGCTGCTTGTTGCCCACCGGCCTCATAATCTTTGCCTGGACGTCTACGTTATCGGTGCACTGGATAGCGCCGATGATTGGCGCCGGAACCTACATGTGCGGGTCGTACATTGTGTTTCAAACGTTGTTCAACTACATGGGGATGTCGTTCCCCCGCCACTTGGCGTCGGTGTATGCGGCCAACGGGCTTCTCCGGTCGATGATGGGCGGGTGCTTTGCGCTTTTTGGCACTGCCATGTTCAACAACTTGAGCACGCCGAAATACCCCGTTGCGTGGGGCACGATGATCTTGGCGCTCATCTTGATTGCGCTTATCCTGGTGCCTGTGATGTTCTACCTCCACGGGCCGCAGCTCCGGGCCAAGTCCAAGTATGCCGATGCGTGAATGTCGAGCCGAGACGTGAGTATGACCCAGTGGAGGAATGGAGTATAAATGGGAGGATAGTGGAGAATAAACGAGAGAAATAATAAGCGAGAAGAGAATAAACGAGGAGAAAATAGAGAAAAGATGAGGAGAAAAATAAAGGGGAAGAAGACAGAGTAAATGAGCAGGGACGTGAAGTATACTGAAGCAGGAGGGTGCGTATATTGGAGCCGAGAAGTGAGAGTATGACCTAGTGGAGATCTAGAGTATAAATGGGAGGAAAGAAGAGAATAAACTAGAAAATAAAATAGAAAATAAACGAGAGAAAATTAAACGAGAGAGAAATAAACGAGAAGAAAAATAAATAGAAAAGAAAAATAAACAAGAAGAACACAGGGTATAAGGACGTGAAGTATATCGGAGCAGGGGAGTGAGTATATGGAGCTCAGGAGTGAGTATGACCTGGTGGAGATCTAGAGTATAAAT